CTCTCTCTCTCTCTCTCTCTCTCTCTCTCTCTCTCTCTCTCTCTCTCTCTCTCTCTCTCTCTCTCTCTCTCTCTCTCTCTCTCTCTCTCTCTCTCTCTCTCTCTCTCTCTCTCTCTCTCTCTCTCTCTCTCTCTCTCTCTCTCTCTCTCTCTCTCTCTCTCTCTCTCTCTCTCTCTCTCTCTCTCTCTCTCTCTCTCTCATATCCACGCTTGTTTTCTCGAAGGCGGGCGAAGCCAACCACGTCTCGCGTAGGACCCACGGGGGAAGTGCGAACGCGTACCGAAGAAGAAGCGGGCACGGGTCCCGCACAACACTAAAGCAACAACCGTACGACACAATGTCGGACGCTTCTCAACTGACGGCGGAATCCCAAGCCTCCCACCAATCGAGCACCCGCTCGGTTCCCGTGCTTGCCGCCACATCATCGAGCAATTTCGAGTGGCCCAAAAGGCAAAGATTTCAACTCCAATCCACCTCAACAAGTCGACCGTCGAGCGCGCTCCACGAAAGCGACGATGCTTTGGACTCGGAAAACGACGGGCCCACGGGCCGAAACGAGGCCGCCAGACGGGCCATGCTTTGGGAACAAGAGCACTCGCATCGCCCCGATTCTTTGCATTCGTCCGGTATTTACGAGTCTCAAGAATTATATGAGGTAAAAAGCCCCTTTATTGAATTATAACATCAACAACTAAAACAAGCAACCCCATGAAAAGTTACTTAGAGCAATATTACATATAGAGGTGGAAATTAGAACAAAATTTCCGATTTCTGCCGATTTTGATCCGAAATTTTCTGATTTTCTGAACTTTTCGGATCAGAAATGCAATATATATGCGATCCAGCTTTCCAATCCAATTTTAATTTCCAAAAATAATTCTGAAAATTTCTTCGTTTCTTTTTTCCTGAAAAAATTTACATTTACAATATCAATTTTATTATTTATTTATATTTAGGTGATTAAATATTCCAAATTCAGCTGATTTTCGAATTTTTTTTCTGAATGGAATTGGAATTACTTTTTTAGTCCCGAAAAAAGTTATAATTTTTTGCGAAATTATTAATTCACATCCGGTTTTTATATAGGGTAATGGCAATAAAAAGAAAGGAAGGGTTGCATTTTCCGGGCCAATGATATATCAGTCGCAAGAAATCGACTCAATCCAGCACGACCAATCTCGTCACGTCGCTCAAAGATCCCGTTTCTCCAAAGGTCTTTATAACAAAATATTCAAGATTATTGGAGAAAAAAGCTCGTTTCTTTAAAATTAAATATCGTTACACTCGTGTGCAGATTTGTGATCCAACGGGTGCGATCTGATCAATCTTGTCGACGAAGCAATGCCGGCTAAACGAGCTCCAACGGAAACTAGAGAATCTCTAACAATGGCTATATAGCATCTCAAGGTAGTTTTTTTTTTGCTCTAGCTTTTTTTGGCATTGCACCAGTTATATATATTCATACAGAGAAATAAAGCTGTAGATTTATTCAATATATATATATATACATATGTATATATATATGTATGTATAATTGGCTGAGATGTGAAGAATTTTGAGTGGAGAAAAGCTGCTAAAAGAATATATTTGTCATTGCATCAGGACCAGCTTAGTAATAGGAATCAGCCAAATCTCTTTTGATTTTCAACTTCACCTGTAACATAAGAATAAGACAATTTTTTTATTTTTTTTAATGTTATTTTTTGTTTATTTTTTTTTTAATTTTTTTTATTGTTTTTATTGTTTTTATTTTTTTTATTCATATATTCCAAAATTGTATATGTTATGATGCTTTTCATGTACAAATCATTTCAAAATATTTATATTAGGGCCTCAATTTATTTAACCCTTCTGTATTTTCCCATATTTTTGTAAGTAATTTTGGATAAAGAGATATTTTTTTTATTATTGGTCCCAAAGGTATAAATTCAGCAAACTATAAAATTATTTTATACTTGTCACTTTTTTTTGGATAAATTACAATCACCTACGAGGTATCGTCAAATTACGAAACCCCCCTCCTTTTTGGGTAATTACAACCACCCCTCAACTATAAATCTTCTTACACGTCCACACTTGCGGTTTCAAATTTAGTGGGATCCTCTTGATTATATGAAATATTATCATTTTTGTATTTGTTTTATCCCATTCGAGCTCCACAATTTGAAGCAAGATGATCATAAGACGTGTTTTTTGGCTTGTATATATCAGATTTTGGTGTATCATAAACTGTATTTTTACACAAAACTAGTACAAACTAGATCACATTCCACAGGATCTAGATGATTATGTTGAATTTGACACCATCAGGGTGGATGTGTAAGAAAATTTATAGTTGATGGGTGGATGTAATTATTCAAACAAAAGAGGGTTTCTCGTAATTTGACGATACTATAGTTTTTTATAACTGAAATGTTAAATGTCGTTACAATTTTACTAATACCGTTTTGACTTCGAACCTCATTTTGACATATTTCTATTTTGATTTTGGCAAAATTCGAAACACGAAAAATGTAGTCCTTTGAGTTAGTTTTGTAATTCAACTTAAATCCGCTAGATTGGATGTCGTATGACAAAGTTATGCATGAATGAGTCACATTTTGAATTTTAAATACCTCAATACATCAAAGTTGTGGGCAGTGTCCATTGATTCATGTATATCTTTCTCGCCCGACATCCAATTTTGGTGATTCAAGTTGGATTAGAAAACTAACTCAGAATACTACAAATCCTATTTTTCGGGTTTTGCAAAATTTGAAATAAAAAATGATCAAAATCATGTTTGAAGTCAAAACGGTATTATTAAAACTCGAACGACATTTATCACATTTTTTTTTTATAGTTGTACTTGCCACCTAATGAATTTATGCCAATTTAACCTAAATATTTCAACCCATACTTCTTTATTTGTTATTAATGATCAATCGAAAATATTATAAATATATGTAGTATAAAAGAATAAGAATGATGTTTTTTTTATCTTCATTCCAACTCTTACTAATCGAAGAAAATATAAATAATAAACTTATTGTGTAAAAATCATTTTTCTTGAAAAAAAAAATATGTAGTGAATTAAGGAAATGTTCAGATTAATTTGAATTGTCTTGGAACAAACTAATTGTTTGATTTATGAGATGTTCGGTTCCTTATATTAGATATACGATTGTTAAAATATCGTATCGATGTGATTTTTCAATAATATTCATATAATTTACGGTAATCATATTCTATTTTGTAATATTTCATGGATAATATCATTCTTTTTTTTACTCTTAGTCTGCCTACAAAATTAATCACACCCGAAGGACAACTGCTAATTTTACCTCGCCTCATAATTAACTTCTCCATCACCGCCGAAGAAGATAGATGACGACGGTAACACTCGCTTTGATTTCACCACCATCGAGGTCGAATGAGGAGATCATTGTTGTTCAGTCATCAGGCGACAAAAATATCGGAAAAAAAAAAATCATGAAGCAAAATAGCAGCAAGACGCACAAACTTTCAATGTCAAATGTAAAAAAATGATAGTATAAACTATATTGTTCCGAAAGTCAACTATAAAAATTGGATTGTCACCTATAATTTTCTCGATGTTTACTATATTAATTTGGTAAATATAATTTTCTCATCAATATATTATCTGATTATCTAGTTAAAGATCGAAATTATGGTGTTCTAAAATAGAAATTCAACAACAAAACCTCATCGGTGAAAAATCATTACATATGGTATCCATAGAGTAGAAAAATAGACTACTTCCTACGACCAAAAAATGAGATGGGGAACTGATCAGGGGCGGACCTAAGGGCTCTTTCGGAAGGGGAGGAGGGCAAAATATCAGTGTAAATTAAGAGAAGAAAAAATATATTTTTTTCGGGACTAAAATGTACAAAATTTAAATTTGGGTGGGGGCAGAGTCTATTAAATGAATAGATAAATAGCAAAATATAATTAACAAAATTAACAAAAAATGGGGGAAAAAAAAACTGCTGCGAAAGCCCCCCAAGCGTACACATGGGTCCGCCCCTGGAATTGATGATGCACTATTCACACCCTTAAAAGTTCCTTCCAAATCCAACTCCTTTAACCGCCAAAAAATTCACCTAACACCGATCTTTGGCCAGAGAAAATGAATTAGACGGACGTAAAATGTAAAACTAAAGAGAAAATTCGAAAGAGAGTATAAAGTTTATTGATTACGTCGAAAACGCAACCCTAATAGGGTTTGACATATTCATTTATATAGACAGAGTTATATATGACTATTTTCTAATTTGGGATCTCTTTATTAATCCAAAATTTACATTGATTGCTTAATTATTGATTAAAAAAAAATGTCTTGTAACAACATGGCTTAAAGAAGGGGACAAAAAAAAAATTTCTATGGAAAAAAAGAAAAGAACAAAAATAATTGAAATAAAAACAGGAAAAGAAAAATCCTATTGGCACATTAAATAAAACAAAAAATTAAATTGAAATAAATAGAAAAACAATAATAATGAACGAGTCCTCCTCCTATAACAATTACAAACGCCAACTTGTACATTACATAACCCAAATTATTCTAACATAATAATACGCAGACATTAGTAACTGATAGGAATTATTTACATCCCAAAAAAATCATAGGAGGCCATGATTTTAATACAACAACATGTTACAATTTCAAAAATAAATAAATTCCAAGCATTTTGATTTTGTCCCATGAATCTTTCTTAGCAATGCGTTAACACGTACGTACTTTCCGTTTTTTCCGACCTCGAAATCAACCTCGTACGAAATATCAATCGTCGTCGAGCCTCACAATCCTAGGTATTTGTCCATTGTTAACAAAATCAAGCTTATTCAATCTCACGCACCCGAGTACTTCTTCCGGTAGTTCTTCTGGCTTCTGCGCCTGTTCGTTGGGGAAAAAAACAATCAGACGCAGAGTGAAAAAAGTCAAATCTAGCTCTGATACCAATATAAGTGAAAGAAATTGTATGTTCTAGAAACATCTAGAAGAGAACCTGAATTGTCAATCCAAGATCCAATATTCCGTTCCCTAAGCGCTCTCGGAACGCTTCGAGTCCCTTTCTTGCAATGTAGCTAAAGTGATGAATGTCGAGGTCGATCTCGAAGTAATTCGAACCCTATTTAAAAAAAAGATTTATTACAAGAACTCGACATCATGGTACAAAGTACGAAAAATGGGCCCCACCTGATAGAAGCTATGTTGCGGTCGAGAAAGAACCGGTTTTTCGTTATAGGCCGAAAGTAATTTTCTCTCGGTGGAAGTTGAGACGAGATCTTCCGGATTCACCACTCCAACCATAAACTTCAACCTTTCTCTAAACGGAACAACCGAATCTTTCGCGAATCCTTTAATATTTTCCATCTCATCCTCAATAAATCTCTGCAAACAAACGGAAAAAATAAAAATCGAAGTATAAATTACATATATATACACATCTCAATACTAATTTATTTCAAGATTTAAAAAAAAATTACCTTGAGACTTTCTTGAAAATGTGGAGAAATATCTTTTTCGAAAGTCTCGGAAAGTTTGAAGTACAGAACGAGGCTCAATCCGTCACCATCGCCATCACCAAGAAACATAGGAGGTGCATAAGTAGGGAGCTGCATGCAACAAAAAAAAAAATCCAATTTAATTGTGTAAAAATAATAATTACAATATAGTATAATTTATTTTATTTTTCTTTTATTAGTTCTTATAAATAAAAAATGGCGGCAAAATAAATAATCACCTGAATATTAACAATTAGCAGAGGAGGTACAACCCCATGACTTGCTTCTACAGAAGGCAGCTCAAGATGTTGTGCTATGTGATTAATCTTTCTCGGGCACGCGAATAAATCGACACCGATCGGAGTGTACGGAGAAAGATTCCCCGCCGGGGCTTTTTTCTTATCTCTGCATTACAAAATTATTAGAAAATCAAAAAATACTACAAAAATATGTCGCGGTTTTTATTTTTATTTTTATTTTATTAGTTAAGATGGCATACTTGAAGTAGGTATCTCCTCTTAGCTTAAAATTCGAGGGATTAACCAAAGACCAAGTTCCGGAAATCGGCTTCCCTTCCGAAGAAGAACACGGGATTAGTAATCCCGCTCTTGGACGATAAAGATACTTCGCCGATGCACCTATATAGTACATAAATGTTTATGTTACGTTAAAAATCGATTATTTTGATTTGAGGTTCGTATTGACTAAATAGTAGGATGTAGTAACATTTTCCGCTGACGAGAGTTAACTGAAAAAGTTGAAGCCCGCAATTAAATGCTAAAAACTATTTTAATAGTAATCGATCCGATATGCAATTAGCCAAAAATCTTACTAACTGAATAATTAGTTAGCTAGTAAGGAATTAATACGATACTTACGAGAGTCGTCTATTTCAACTCCGTCGATGGATTTCCTCGTAATTGAGAGCCTAATGACCGTTGATGACTTTCGATTAGATTGTGGGTGTGGGCCCACCGTTGTTGCGGAGTAGATTTTGTCGTTGAAACTTATCGAAGGAACCAATTGAGGTAAGACGGATTTTAATAAATTTCCCGAATTTTTTTCCTCGTTGTCGTTGTTTCTTTCGATTTTCAGGCCGCTGAAACTCATGTAGGCACGGTCTAATTTTGTTTTTGTGATGGTGTTGGATTCTTCGATCATCGGTAAACACGGGAGCTCTTTTCGTTGGGTATCGATCAACATAAACCCGTTGCGCTCTTTCGTGTTCAACTCCGTTTTAGTACCACCATTGTCTATTTTCACGTACTTCTCGTGGAATTCTTTGATGTTACACTTGCTATCGGTGAAGCACGACGAAGCTTCGTATTGAAGTACTTGTCCTCCGTTTGCAATGCTCGGGAAAAAATCTAAACCAACGAAAATCGAAATAAAATATTAAAAAGACAACAAATTAAAAAAATCGTCGAAAAATGTGAATGATTGAATGAATTTACCTCCATGTACACTACTAAAGTCATCATCGGAATCGGAATCAAGAATGCTGATTGTGTCGAACCACGAATCTTCTTGGTAAACTCCTATAACCACACAAAGTATATAAGTTATCGATTTTTTCCGATTTTATTGCATCCAACACCCTCGTGTTATATCGAATTGCTAAAAAACTCCCCTAAATTATGCGTTTTAGGGGTAGTTAGCTAATAAAATTGAATCATAATGGGGTTTTTATAGCAATTAGAGTAAAATAGAGGTGTTGAATGCAATTAGTTAAACATTTTTTATTCAATAACAAATAATATTTATTTTCAAGTATATACCATTAGCATCAATCTGGCTATGGTGCCATTGCATCTGCGTGAGATGGAAAGTGGAATTCGAAACCGACGATCTTCTGCAAGTGGTGGTCGTGTGGACGAATTCGCTGACGGCAAAATCCGTCACTCGGGCGCCGGCGTCGCTATTCCGCTTCCTATTTCCGTCGGTAATTGTATTGATGACCCGTTTTTTGGAGCGTCCGCGGTATTTTCTTCTTATTTTAATGGTCTTCGACGGTGTTGCTATCGACGGTGAAGATACACAAGCACCCATTGTAATAGCAACTCAGTCTCTAAGTTAAAGCTTTCTGTAAAAAAAAAAAAAAAGGGAAAAAATCGGAAATCGGAATGAAATCCAGCCACACAACGAGTTTATATAAAAGAATCAAAAAATGGAATTTCTTGAATTGCAATGAGGATACATACATACCTTAGCGTGAAAATTGCAACTATAAAAATAGTTATTGAAAAAAAAATCAAGAATTCGGTTATCGAACTTTCGGCACCAACGTTTATTCAATTGCACACTTCACTTCCCCCTCGAGAAACTGCAAAAAAATGCAAAATCATGATTTCGTACTAAGTACTAATTTATTTATTTATTTTTTATTTTTTTTTATGTATTTTTGTGTAACAATGTGTTGTGAAAGTGGTGGTAATAAAAGAGATCACCATGAATGAAAAGTATATATATATATATATATATATATATATATATATATATATATATATATATGCTATGAGGGAAAATCAAAGATGATGATTCATATTATGGGGCACTATATATTGAATCAACTAAAAATCCATACTATACTAATTTTACACGTACCCACGTGTATATGTGTGTGATTATGTGTAAATCAAACGTCGAAAACTACACAGATATATTGGAAAAACAAAGACGACGATTCATATTATGGCCCCCCATCAAATCAACGAAAAATCCATACGTATTTTACACATACCCATACGTATATGTGTGTGATTATGTGTAAATCAAACGTCGAAAACTATTCCGATTAATCAAAATCTGTAAAAAAAAGAAATACATAAACAAACAATTCGCATGCGAAAAAAAAACGTACCAACGTGTACAACACACACACAACACACACGTATGCGTGTGCGTGTGTGCATGTACAGAGAAAAGGGACCTCGAAAAAAGGCTTTATTTAATTTTATTTTTTTTTCTTTCTGAAGAAAAAAAGGGTGAAAATCAGAAATGGGTCCAACGTACGTGGAATCCTATTTGCAAATTCTTTTTTTTTATTTTATTTTTTCTCAGAAGAAAAAAAAGGGGAAGAAGATGGAAAAATTAAGTCAGGTGGAAATATGAGAAATTGTTGTGGTATTATTACTACATTAAAAAAAGGAAAAAAAATCCTAAATATATGGTTATCTCTCCCTTCTTCTTCTCTCTATCTCAGTTTTTTTCTTTCTTGTTTTCTCCATTAATGGATTTTTTTATTTTTTTTTGTAATGATTTTATCGGTTATTATTACACCACCATTAACGTTCCCGAATTGTTTCAGGGGCTTCGTCAAAATGTAATCTTTTTATTTTGGGTTTTTTTTTTTTTTTTTTTTAGGGACAAATTGTACTTTACCCCCTACTAATTTTCCATTTTCGCAATTTTCCCCCATAAATTAAAAAACTAGATAATTACGCTTCAAAATATTATGTTGGTTGCACTTTCGCCCCATTAGCTAATTTGTGGTGGGCATTGTGCAACAAAAATAAAATTTTAAAAGGGCAGTGTGCAAAAAAATAGTGTTTCTAGTGTTTTTAAGGGGTAACGTGCAATAAAAATAACATATAAAGGGGCAATGTGCAATAAAAATACCTAATTCCAATGAATAATCTATCGGAATTTTGTATCGGGACAATGTGCAATTAGAATAATATTTTGAAGTGGGATATTCACTTTTTGAATTTTTTAAAGGGTAAAGTGCAAAAATTAGAAATTTTTAGGGGGTCATGTGGAATTTGGCCTATTTTTATTTTGGGTTTGTTGATTTTTTCTTCTTTTTTACTATAATATATATATATATAGCACGGTCACAAAAATGATTTGTTCGATCCTACACCCGGTGAAAAATACCTGGTGGGTCTTCTGCTGCCACGTGTTTCTTTTTTGTATTTTATAATAGATTTTCCGCTAGGGTTTATCTTTAGGGGTTTTAGAAAAATAAAAAAAAGAACACGTGGCAGCAGAAGACCCACCCAGTGTCGATATAAGAACGGGAAACGGACAGGGGAGCAACGTCATGCCCAAAAAAATGGCATTTTTATAATTATTTATGTTTTATATACTGGTAAATTTTTTTTTTATTTTTTTTATTTTTGTAATCATGAGATTTTATAAAAGTGCAATGAATTTTCAACTTTGAATAGTGAAAAAAAAATTATGATTCATGACAACAAGAAAGGAACAAAAAAACTTTAATAGACTTCCACTCGAACCAAAAGTAAATGCAAAGCCTTTGGGAAAAAAAAATATTAGGGTTCATTATATGTACTTGTAATTTATCTTTTCACTATTTCCAAAAAAATGGAAAGACAAATTTAGAGTAGCCATTTGGTTTCTTTTATCTATTTCTATTGCCTTGTAATGTATTATAATACAATGAGTGATTAGTGAATTGTATTCAATTACCGACGCGGTGTGATACACGTCGTTTCAGTTTTAAAATACCGTTTTGACTATAAACAAGAACTTGACAATTTTCGAGGCTAAATTTTTGCAAAGCTCAAAACACGAAATTTGCTCGAGATGGACTAGTTGGTGTGGGGATCATTGCTCGAGACCATTGTGGCCGGTGATTGTTGGATGTCGATTTGCATTCATCAGCCTCTAAATCCTATACTTCAGCAGAAGCAAAAGCAGCTTTGCTTGCGGTGAAATTTGCTCGGGACAAGGCCTGACGGAAAGTGATTATCGAAGGCGATTCTACCGTGGTCATCAAGGCGATTGAAGGCGAGGATGAGGATCGATCGACGTATGGAAATCTTATTGAGGATATTCATGCTATTGCACCATGTTTCGAGGTTTTTTCTGCTCTTCATATACGTCGAAATGGGAATAGTGCTGCTCATGCTTTAGCTTAATTATCTTTTAAAGATCCGACTCTTTTCAATTTTTTGCCACTGGGTATTCAAAACATTGTAATAGTTGAATCAATTCTCTGAAATGAAATTTTCATTTTCTCAAAAAAAAAAAAATAATAATAAAATAAATAAAACATGAAATTTGTAGATTTTTTAATTAGTTGACTTTCTAATCCAACTTGAATCACATAAATTGGATGCTGGATGAAAAAATATGAATGTATCAATGAATAACACTCGCATCTTTGATGTGTTGAGTTATCTAAAATTCAAAACGTGATTTGTCCATGCATAATTTATTCATACGACATTCGATCTACCTAATTCAATTTTTTGTGTTTCAAATATTGCTAAAATCAGATTAGAAATTGGTAAGAATCACGTTCGAAGTCAAAGCGGTAGTTAATAAATTTCGAAACGACATTTAGGTGGTGTTTGCAAACACTTTTTGAAAGTGATTATGAGCTTTTTTTTGCTCATAATCTGTTTTCAGGTGTTTGCAAAATTAACTTTTGTTTTTGCTTCTCTTAAAATAATTTGCTTTAAGCTATTTTTTTTAAAACACTCATAACCCTGTTTTTTCTATTTAAGTCGGAAAATTTGCAAACACCCCTAACTTTTTAAAATAAGCACTTAAAACTGACTTAACTCACAATCACTAACTTCTTCTTTAAAATAATCATTTGCAAACACCACCTTAACATTTCAGATTATTGTTATTGGGCCTAAGCCCACTAATTAAATCATGATCTAAGCCCATAAAATAGCCCAATTACATGAATTATTATTTATCTTTTTCAAAATCCCCATTAATTTTCGTCTTTCTCTGATTATCGTCTCTCTTTTTCCAATCTTTGATAATTCAGAAAATTCAGCAAATTTGATTCAACACGCTGCCATCTGAGCATACAGCTACTTCCGTCGGCTTGACTGTGCGCCGCCGCCGGCGACTTTTCAAATTTCCGTGGTAAATATTTCCGCATCTGAAGATTAATTATTGAAATCCGTTTTCCTATTTATTTTAGATGATTGTATGCTTTTTTTTTTCTTCTTCTGCGATTCATTAATCGATTGTTTATCAAATTGCCTGATTTAGTAATTGCTGGTAATTACTGTTGCATCTGATTTTAATGTGTATACTTTTAATTTTTGTTTATTTGTGTATCTGGTAATTAACCATTATGCACGAACAAATTGGGGAATTTCTGTTGTGGAACCAGGGTTAGGGTTTCAAATTGAAATCATGGATGCGGTTTGAATATAGGTTTTTGTAACTTCCATGGCTCGAATTTACGTCTAGGATCGTTTATTGATTGAAATGAAAAACTTCGATAATTCTACAGCTGTGGGGATTGATTTCTTCACCATGAACTCCAAATTATAACTCATTTTTTTAAAAAGTATTTAGAGATATTCACTCTTGAGCACAATCGTTATTGTTTTGAGGTGAATCGAAACATTGTAATCATCGATTTTTGCTTAGCTATAACAGTTTACGATTTTTTTATTTATTCTGTGTGACTACTTTCTTGAAAATGGTGGCTAAGTAGATAATCAAAGGAGCTAAACTTTTTGCTTCTTATGGTTTTCGGTTTTCGGTTTTTTCTACGTGCTTCTTCTTTTGGGTTTTTTAGCTCACTCCTTCTATCGTTATTTTGCTCTGGTGTACTAGCATTGGGTGTTTCATTCGGTTATACAGTTCGTTACTTTTTTTTTTTTTTTTAATTTATCGAACATGTGTAGTTAGTTGAAGGATATGGCATCGAAAAGAAACATGCGGTACAGTCGTCTTGCTGTGGATGAAGATGATTATTATGACGGTAGCAATCAAAGTCGACACGATCCTAGATTCGATTACACGCCAAGAACCTTCGACAAAGTTCCTTGGAAGTCGATTGTTCTCGCATTATTTTTGCTTTTCCTAGGATGTCTACTTCTCTTGCTCGCTGTTTTCATCTTCACCGGTCATATGGGAGGGGAGTTTTCCCAAGCGTACGGTCTATTAGGACTCGGGTTTCTTACCTTCATTCCAGGTATCTTAATTAATGCCTCCCCTTATAAATCATTTCATTCTTTGCCCCTTGTTTACGCAAATATATTTGATTAAGCGACTATCCAGTTTGTTCTATGTGGGATTAATCCATATTGTCAATTCTATTACTGGGATTAATCCATATTGTCAATTCTATTACTAAAATTCTTAATTGTGACGAGTTCTATTGTCATGTAGTCTTACTCCTATGTATGTGAATTTATGTGCAAGTCTTGTATGGATATATAAACGTGGAGATACACGCGTATTGGTGAACTTTGCGTATATAAGAACCTTGTAATTTTTTTATTTTTTATTTTCCTGGTGTGAAGTTATAATAAGTTTGCTGATTAGCTGTAATGAAAATGGCTGCAGGCTTTTACGAGACTAGAATTGCCTACTATTCGTGGAGAGGTGCGCAAGGATACCGATTTGCCTCGATTCCCGATTATTGAGGTTTTCGTTTTTTCAACCGCCGACATTTTCTTTTCATCACGTATGTAGCTTAAAAGTTCGTTGTAAGAACATGTAGTGTTATGTTGTTCTTGTATGCATAGAACCAAGTTATTTTTGTATATTCTTCGGTTACAGTTTATTAGCAGTTGCTGAGCCAGGATTTTGTATTCGCATGACTAAATATATACAAATTTCTATATAAAGTAGTACGATTTTTACACGTCGGGGGTCATGGCCCCCTATAGCCGGCTCCGCCACTTTTTTGCGGTGCCGTATGTTGGACAAACTATATTAGTATTTGTTGGAGAATCATTTATCATGTAAAGTAAGTTTTGATATTCTTTTTTCATTCAATAAAAGAGAATCTAAACTTATGTAATTTAATTAAGGGTATATTACAATCACCCCTTGAGGTATGGTCAAATTACGAAAATCCCCTATTGTTTGGATAATTATAACAATCCCTCAACTCCTCAAATTTAGTGGAATCTTCGAGATTATATGAAATATTATCACTTTTGTACCCGTTTTATCCCATTCAAACTCTACATTTTGAAGCAAGATGATCATAATATGTATTTTTTGGCTTGTATATATCAGATTGTGGTGGATCAGAAATTGTATTTTTACACAAAACGAGTACAAACTAGAACACATTCCACAAAATCTAGATGATTATGTTGAATTTGACACCATAAGAGTGGAAGTGTAAGAAAAAATCATAGTTGAGGGGTAGATGTAATTATCCAAACAAGAGGAATTTTTTCGTAAATTGACCATACTTCTGGAGGTATTTGTAATTTACCCTTTAATTAATTGTTTTTACTTGTGTTGTCAAATAGACAAATCCTAATAATACCCATGAATATAGAACAATGACAAAATTTGAAAATATTAGTAAGAAAATCATTTGTTTAAATTTATTAAATTTCATCTTTTGAATGCATTAGAAAATGTAAAATTAAAGAAAAAAAAAGTTTGAGAAATTAATAATAAAAATAAATAAATAATCAAATATTCCCAACGGCAAAGATTCGATCTCCAATCATGGGATCGAACCACATGATTAACTCCCCGTTTAACAAAAAGTAGAACTTCAATTAGTGTGATCATTAATCATTAATTAATTAATTAAAAACTCTTTCTAAAAAAAACTAACTAAAACGAATATTTTTTCTGCACTACTAAAAATATAATAAAAAAATATGAAAATAGAAATAATAATAACATAAAGAAAAAGAACAAATTCCGTTGCTTCGATTTCTGCATCAATTCATCATCGTCGTCGTCGTATTGTATCCGTGTAAGTATGATTTGCAATTGATTTTCTCAGCATTTCTAATTATTATTATTTTTTTGTTTTCCGTAGGAATCAACGACTGTATGTTTGATTGATCTCTTCTGTTTTTTTTTTGGGGGGGCTTCAATTGTTTTAATTTTGTAACGTCAATTTCCTAGATCTGTAGCGATTTGCTGCGGGTTTGTTGAGTTGTAGAATTTTTTAATTTGGTAAAATTGTTTGATTTTTCGTGTAAAGGTTCGAGCTTTAGGTTATGGCGCGCATTTCATATTGATAAAAAAAATTAATTTATTGGGGATTTTACTGTAGCAGAAATTAGAAAGAAATTAATTTTGCTTACTTGTGGTTTCCTTTGTTATTATGTTTGTGGGATGTCGTTTATTCTTGAATGCGATATGCTCGTTTTTATAATCTGTATCTATATCTATATATGTATGTATGTATGTATGTATGTATGTATGTATGCATTGCTTTGATTTCAATCTTATATGTCTGTACAGGATAATGGATGGACCAATCCAAGAGGGTAGTAGCGTGGATTCGTTCTTGCGGAACTATAAGCTCGGAAAGACACTTGGAATCGGGTCGTTTGGTAAAGTTAAAATTGCCGAACATACGTTGACGGGTCACAAAGTTGCTGTGAAGATCCTGAACCGCAAGAAAATAAAGAATATGGATATGGAAGAGAAAGGTCAGTCAATCCAACGAGCAAAAATGTACTGTTTATTTATTGAATTTTCGTTCTACGTCTGTTTCGTGCTTTTCGAGATATGTTAGTCGACATCCGTTATTGAAAAAAATCGAAAACCGAAAATTTAGATTTGTATTAGCTAGTGATCTGTTGCTGTTTGAATTTGGAGAATTAACTTTTTTATTTTCGTTCCTTACATTATCTGAGACCATACATATTTACTCGTGGGATCCATCTACATTGTTTTGGAGAAAAAACCGATGATTGGTTTTTCGATAAAATTAGGTTGCATTTTTTGCTCGACTGTATATTCTCGATTTATGAGTGGGATTATCTTAATTTGCAGTTAGAAGAGAAATCAAGATTTTGAGACTGTTTATGCATCCCCATATAATTCGTCTATACGAGGTTGTAGAGACGCATTCCGATATATACGTCGTAATGGAATACGTCAAAGCCGGTGAATTGTTCGATTACATTGTGGAGAAGGGCAGGTTGCACGAGGAGGAAGCCCGTGTCTTTTTTCAGCAGGTGATATTTCTTTTCTTGCTTCTTTCAATCTGCAAAACAATATATATATATATATATATATATATATATATATATATATATATATATATATATATATGATTTTATTTATTTATTTATTTTAATGATTGCAGATAATCTCGGGAGTGGAGTATTGCCATAGGAATATGGTGGTACATAGAGACCTAAAACCCGAGAACTTGCTTTTGGATTCTAAATGCAATGTAAAAATTGCTGATTTCGGTTTGAGTAATATAATGCGTGACGGCCATTTCTTGAAGACAAGTTGTGGAAGCCCCAATTATGCTGCTCCGGAAGTACTAAAAACCATTACGATAATTTTATTTTATTTTATTATTTTTTTTTGAGAATTTTCGACATTTACAAATGAACCTTTTACGTAGGTTATATCCGGTAAACTATACGCGGGACCCGAAGTGGACGTATGGAGCTGTGGTGTTATACTCTACGCACTTCTTTGTGGGACCCTTCCGTTTGACGATGAAAACATTCCTAACCTTTTCAAGAAAATCAAGGTTAGTTATTCTTGTTAATTATTGCTAATTATTTTTATAAGAAAATTAACATTTATTTTTCTCTGTTTAATATATAAATATATATAGGGTGGAATATATACGCTCCCCAGCCATTTATCTGGTGGTGCTCGGGATTTAATTCCGAGAATGCTTATAGTTGATCCTATGAAACGAATGACAATACCCGAAATCCGTGCACACCCTTGGTTTCAAGCTCATTTGCCGCGCTATTTGGCTGTGCCGCCACCTGATACAGTGCAGCAAGCTAAAAAGGTTTAATATAAATTTATATGTAATATATCAAGAAACGAGTTTATTGCATTTAGTACCCCTTGTGTTATATCGAATTTCTAAAAAACTCCCCGTGGTATAAATATTAGCAAAAGTCCCACTAGAATGCATTTTTTTAGCACACAGCCCCCTAAATGGTGAGTTTTTTTAGGGGTTAGTTTGCTTAAAAAATATGCATCATAGTTTTTTTTTTTTCTTTTTGCTAATATTTATAACACGGGGATCGTTTTAGCAATTAGACTAAACACAGGGTGTTGAATGTAATAAACCCATAAAGAAAGTATGCTATAAATTCCGAGTTACTAACACGTTTTTTTTTTTATTTATTTTTTAAATGTCAAGATCGATGAAGAGGTTCTTCAGGAAGTGCTTAGGAAGGGATTCGACAGGAATATGCTCGTTGATTCTATTCGGAACAGGCTTCAAAACGAGGTTGAATTTTTTTTAGTGGATTGTATCATTTTACGTAAAATGATTAATAATAATAATATTCAAATTTTCTTATTTTGCACTTTATTCCACAGGGTACTGTTACGTACTATTTGCTGCTCGACAATCGGTTTCGTCTTTCCAGTGGCTACCTTGGATCCGAATTCCAGGAGACTTTGGTCCGCTTTTTTAATTCTATGCTCATAAATTAATACAGCTCCTCTTTCTTTCTTATTATATTTATTATTTCCATTTTCTTGAATACGGCTTCTCTATAGGAATTCGACTATAGTAATAGCATGAATCAAAGTCAATCTGTAGCATCTCCCGTTGGTCAACGAACTCCTGGAGCCGTTGATTATCAACAATTTGGAGTGAGGCAGTTTCCAGTCGATAAAAAATGGGCACTTGGACTCCAGGTATATATATATATATATATATATATATATATATATATATATATATATATATATATATATATATATATATATATATATATATATATATATATATATATATATATATATATATATATATATATATATATATATATTTGCTTCTTTTTTTATTTTTATTTAGTGTGAAATCAAATATGTGAGGTGATTTGTGCAGTTCCTTGATAGATTTTCTTAGTAATATTTTTATCATTAATAAAATCAAAAAAACATTCCTTAAACCATCAACACTTGTCTTAAGTTTCCCTTGTTTTTGTTTAGTATATATATATATATATATATATATATATATTAGTTGCATAGATATCATCAATTCGTGTATCATTTTGAAGTCACTAGGGTTTTAAATCTCTTACGATAATTCCTGGTTGAAATTAAATTACGAAAAATTCCGTCATGTTTGGATAATTACAACCACCTCCTCAAATTTATCTATTAAAGGAGAGAGGTTTTCGTAAGACAATATGTAATCAAAGAGTGTGGTTGTAATTACTCAAACAGAAGGGATTTTTTTGTAATTTTATCTTATATCAGCGGTGATCGTATAAATCGATTTGGAAAAAGATAATAATAATAATAATAATAATAATAATAATAATAATAATAATAATAATAATAATAATAATAATAATAATAATAATAATAAAAGGAAAAGCCATATTTTGTCGTTTGTGATTGAGAATAAGGTCAAGGAAAGCGATTTTCTCAATGGCAATGACAATTAAATTATTGCAAACATCAATTAATTAATTTACTTAGATTTTTTAACGTCAATAAAAAGTGTAGAAAGTGACATTCCCAAATTTCACGCGTAATTCGGACCAATCATTTCCTAGCATAAGTACAAATGGACTTCTAGGAGCATCTAAGATTAGTAATATGTTAAAGTATGCAATTAGATAACATTTAATATATTTCATCAAGAGTGTAGCATCTTCTATACTTCATTTGTTCCATAATAACTAGTAGAGTAAATGAACTGAACCCGCTCACGAGTCGATGAGCTGGATTGACCAAAGCTCGAGTCTTCTGAGGGCTCGAGTCTTCTGAGGGCTAGCCCATCTTTAATTGTTTATGAGCTCACGAGTCGTCTCACGCATGAGCTCGAGCTCGAAAAATATGGCGAACTCGACTCATTTGCACCCCCTAATAACAATATTTTTATTCATACTATCTGTTACTTTAGATTTCCAATACTGCCATTAGATGCATTTTTCTTTTTTATTTTAACATTATTAACTGAACTCTACTCCCTCCGTTCCTAAATATGTGTCGTTTTTCACCTTGGCACGAGTCTTAAGAATCTCAATAAATATGTTGATTTTAGCAAAATAGATATAGGTAGACCAAAGTACCCTTGTTTACTACTTAATGCAGAAAGAGTGTTTGCGAGTAAATAAGGGAATAATTGAAAATATGTAATTAATGCAGCATTGGAATTGTAAAGTGACAGATAATATGAAACAAAAAACTTGAAAGAGACAGATATTGTGGAACAGATGGAGTAAGTATTAACTTTATTTTATCACATCATAAATAATTAAGGTTATTTTAATCTTTTTGATGTATTTATTTTCCTAAAATCAAGGCACGTTTATTGACATTCTTAATACTTGTGCAAAACTAAAAGACGACAGTTAATTAGAAACGGAGGGAAGTATCAAATTCGTGTTAACTTAAGGCAACATTATATCTTGAAAAATAAATAGAATTACATTATTGAAGGGCAAATGGGTAATTTTGTGGGGTGACAAGGTGTGAATGTGCCGTACGGTCATTCGTATATACAAAAGATGAGACATGTAAAGGGTTTCATTGTGTAGCTGAAGTACACCTCTTCTGTTTGTTATGCTGGTTTATTCACTTTTGTTTCGACTAAGCTTACAAGCTGTTAAAAATAGCTTATAAGTGTTTGGTAAATAAATTCATTGTCCTAACACTTTGAAAAATTAGTAAATAAAACTTAAATAACTGATTACCAACTCTTAAAGCAACTTATTAAATATTAGAGTTTATGCTGAATTTAATCAAACGGGCTCTAAAGATGGAGTGCTACATATTATCAAAGGAAGATGTCAATGAAGTATTGTAATTGCACCACGTGGAGATTTGAGACTAAATCAATTGTCTTCAATCATACAAACGTATGCATTATATTGGTGATAAATGATAATTAATTTACTCTTAGGAATTTGACTATAAAAATATATGATACATACACTTTCCAGCATGACTTACACTAATGGGATTAAGGCTTAATTAAGTGCACAAGAAACCTCCAAATGCTTCATTATCAAAAAAGATGACTTCATGAATAGGATTAATAATTAAGGCAGATTATGACGAAAAAATTCCTAATTTTGTATGTAAATTTGACACGAAAACAATATATAGTTGATGGGGTAATTGTAATTATTCGACCATAAAGAATTTCATCGTAATTTGAGCATATATACTCTGACGTCAGGGGTGACCGTAGTTTGCCCTTGTAATTAAAAGATGCCTCTTTATATTTATTAGGGTATAATATAAATATGATTGGTTTGGATATTAAATTGGTCCTAAAATTGCACAAATTCCATTTCTTCCTAATATTATCTCTTAAGTTGCAAGAACTTCAAAACTTGGCTTGCTCATAAAATTGTTACGTGGGCCACCATAATTTTGAATTGGGCTTATACTAACTTATAATGTGGGCCACCAAATATCTTGGACTGGACTTATAATTATTTGTCTTTGGCCCAACAAGTGTTCAGTCTTTGTAGAAAAAAATAGGGACAAAGATCGACCGATCGGATCGAAATTCCGAGTTTTTCAGAAGTGAAAAAAATAATTCCAATAAAGAGAATCGGAAAAATAAAAAACTGGAATTTTGGAAATTGGAATGGAAAAAAAAAACATTCCAAAATTGGAAATTTTCGGATCGAGAATAGTATAATTCGAGAACTTCCAGTTTTTTATTAACCTAAAATCCAAAATGCATAATAATATTGATATTAGAAGGGTAATTTCAGGAAACTAATATTGAATAGGAAATCGGAATCTCATATGTATTCCAAATCTAATAAAAAAAAAATCAATTTTTTTGTAAGAAAATCGGAATTCGGAATGACAAATATTGTTCCGGAAGACTTATTTTCAAGTGAATTGGAGTTGTATATTTGAAATCCACAATACCAAATTTATCGAACTTATTAAATTTTTTTTTTTTTTTATCACTCTTATTTTTAATTATTTTTGAAAATATTAAATCGCAGAAAATTTAAAATAAAATAGATAAATAGTGCGTGCCACTAATACTTTTTTCACAAATCATTACATCAAATTCAAATTAGTCGGTTGAGTAAATTCTAATTTCTTTCAATAATTGACCAAAGCCGTAAGCAGCGCCATCCCAAAAATCCTACCTTTATTCCAATCGGAATCACGAATTTCTTCACCAGATTTTCCAGGTTTGTTTTTTATTCTTTGATGTTGTATATCTGATCTCGTACTTCGATTCGAATCAATAATCATAAATTTTTTTTTATATATATATACTGCAGTAATTTGATGATTTAGAAGCTCGATCTAGGGTTAATTTATTCATCTTGATTCTCCTCTAAATTCAATCACATAGGTTACGATGAGCGGAGTATTTGAAGGTTACGAGAAGCAATACTGCGAGCTCTCTGCGAATTTAGCGAAGAAGTCCTCGTCGGCGAATCTACTTGATGGGGGTTTGTTTTTTCATGCCCTAATTCCAATTTTATCGATCCTTTATTTTATTTTTTAATTTGTATGTTATGGTGGTGATTTAATGCGTGCTCAATTGTTAATTATGTGAACAAAATGAGGGGTTATTATGCTAATTGTTAGAGCGTCGATCTTTTCGGAATTTGTTGCGTTGATTTTTGTGGCTGATACAGGTTTTTGAAGCTAAAATCTTTCGTTTTTATGAATCCGATTTTTTTGGCTTATAATTCTAGAACAACTTTTTGCTTATTATAACTGCAGCTGGATATTAATTGTGCGATTACTAGTATTGTTTTAGCACTTAACTTAGATTTTTTGAGGGTATCGAATCAAATCCTTATCCTTTTGGATTTTGGAGGGATATAGCCATCTCTCTCTCTCTCTCTCTCTCTCTCTCTCTCTCTCTCTCTCTCTCTCTCTCTCTCTCTCTCTCTCTCTCTCTCTCTCTCTCTCTCTCTCTCTCTCTCTTGTTGGATATATTGCGGAAGTATGTGAACAAGATTAACTAGGAAATAATCGAGGAGTACGTATCTCCTACTTCATATTTTACTCTTATTAATATATGTTAAATTACAAGTAAAAACTCATGACCTATTTATACTAGTCTAGGCATATGTAGTACATGCATCATATTAAATATATTCATCATGAATCCTAGATATACATGTATCTAACAATTCATGTATTTGCCTATTCATTATACTATCATACATTGTACATGCATGTGGATATTCTAGAAATTGCATTAATATTTCAACATCTCTCTCTCTCTCTCTCTCTCTCGGAGAGATGATTGTTTATTTGATTCGTTGTTAATCTTTGCCATTTTGGGCATTTTTCATGGTATATTCATTTTCGTTACTGGTGAAATTGACTGCACGAGAATTGAGACATCAAGATATATTTTTTCTTCGCAGAGCAAAAGAAACAGAAGCTTTCGGATATCAAAAATGGGTTGGATCAGGCGGAAGCTTTGGTTTGTACAAGCCCTTCCCTCCAAAACTATAGTTTCTATATATATCTTTCCACTCTGATTGGCCGGTTATTTTGCAGATACGGAAGATGGATATTGAAGCCCGTGGTTTGCAGCCAAATGTTAGGGCAGTTCTTCTTGCCAAGCTGAGAGAATACAAATCTGACCTCAACAATTTGAAGAGTGAAATAAAGCGAGTTGAAACGACCAATTTGAACCAGGCTGCCCGAGATGATTTGCTTGAGTCTGGAATGGCTGATTCACTCGCTGTACGTTTTTCTTTTCTTCTTTTCTTTTCTTTTAATACACTGGCAGCAGTACGTATATCCCTTTTAGGATTTTATCTACGGGTGGAAATTGGATTCATCGGGTCAGAATTTGCACTTTCGGAAAAAAATCCATTTTTTCCCATAAGTGAAAACCCGATTCCAATTCCGTTCCAAAAAAATCGGAAATCGGAATTTCGGACATTGGACTGAAAAAACATGTCCCAAAATTGGAAATTTTCGGATTCGAATCGGCATGATTTGGAAAGTTCCAATTTTTAGCAACCTACAATGTAAAATACCTAATAATTTTTATAATATACGTGTAATTTTCCGGGAAAAAAAATCAGAATTGTTTTGGAAATTAAATTGGATCTGTCATCACAATGTCATATATTTTCCAATTTCAATTTTCCAGTCCAAAAAAAGTTGAAAAAAATCAGAAATCTGAATTTTGAAGTTGGGAATACAAAATATTGTTCCAAAATTTCAGATCGGAATCGGAAATTCCGTTCCAATTCCCACCCCTAATATTTGATAATCTGCGATTTGCTGAAAAATTACGGTGATTGCCACAGGTATCAGCTAATCAAAAGGACAGACTTAAAATGTCAACCGAAAGATTGAACACCTCGAGTAACAGAATCAGGGATAGCAGAAAGGTCATGCTTGAGACAGAAGAGCTTGGCGTCTCACTTCTCCAAGATTTACACCAACAACGACAGTCTCTCTTACACTCTAATAACACGGTAGTAATAAAACATTATATTCAATTCTTCTCTAAAACAAAATTTAAAATATAATATTATGTATATAAATATAGCTTTGCTTGAACATTCGTTTGTCGTGCTTTAGATGCATGGAGTGGACGAGAACATAGGCAAGAGCAGGAAGATTATAACTAACATATCGAGAAGGATGGATCGAAACAAGTGGGTAATCGGTGCTATAATCACAGTGCTGATTATTGCTATTTTCGTGGTCTTGTATTTTAAATTCATCAAGTGAGTTAAGACCAAGTGTGTGTGTTTGTGTGAGATTCTTGGTTTTTTTTTTTTTTTTCTGATCTTGTTTATTCAAAGTGTTGTGAGAGTCGAAACTTGCTCGTTTCGTTTGTTATTCTTTTCGAATATTTGTAAATTTGAACATCTTGTGATTCTATTTTTAAATGAGAGCTCCATTAAAAGAAATAGTTTTTTTCTTAAATATATAAAACAATGAGCAAGCTTTTGTAGCTTAATAGTAGTAAAGAAAATTATGATATTCAATAATTTAAATGGGGTGATATACAAATCAATTTTTACGGCACAGTGAATATGAACATAAATCTTCTCATTATTAAAGCATGACTGTTAACTTATATTTTGGTTTCTCGTATTTGTTTTTATTAGACATAGATATGCTAAGCTTTTTTATTTTACAGAAAGTTTATTTGAACTTTTATATTACCTGTTTTTTAGCATTATCAAATAGGTATTACGAATTTGATCCATTTAAATGATTGTTTAATTTATATAATAAATTAAGATAACTATTACTTCGCATTCTGGGGATGTAGCTCAAATGGTAGAGCGCTCGCTTTGCATGCGAGAGGCACGGGGTTCGATCCCCCGCATCTCCATCTTTTCTACTTTACATGAATTAACATTTTTTAATAGAAACAATTGAAATGTGTAAAAATTAAAATCAATTTTTTTTTTTTTTTTTTCCTTTTTTTAGATAATTAAAATTTTGAATTTGAGCTATTGAATTGCCAAAACTTGTTTCAACATTTTTTAATAGAAAGAATTGAAAGGTGTAAAAAATAAAATCAATTTTTATTCCTTTTTATAATAGATACTTAAATTTTGAATTTGAGGTATTGAATTGACAAAACTTGTTTCAAAATTGAAAAAAGGTTGGTATCAATTTGATCAGGAAGGAATTTGTCCATTCAACTTTATAACAATCCATCATACTCACTTTATTCACTATATAACCTTTATCTAAATAAAGGGTGGTGATAATATCACACAAGAGTTTGGTGATAATTAAAAATTCAAAACTTGTTATATCTTGTTTTATTTATTTCCAATTTTTTTATAAGTCTCCATCAAAAATATTTTAGGAGAATATCACACCATTAATCACCAAGAACATGAGTTTATCATCTTTGGATGATAATTCGGCTGAAAGTGAGGTAAAAATTTAGTTATACTCAATATCGAATATGAAATTTATAGTTTTTTAGGTAGGTGTTTCGGGTAGAAAATTACAGAGGATAAATGCAGTCACGTAGAAAATTAATGATAAAATAAACGCAAATTAATTTTATATTAAAATGTCTATAGCAACTAAATTGCTTTCAAAAAAAAAAAAATTAAAAAGATGTCTTAAAGTTAGGATCTTTCTCAAAGGAAAAAAAGGAAAATGAAAGATATGTTGTGTTAGTGGTTGGTGTTCAACAACTACCATAAATGAAATATATATAAAAGATCCCTTTTATTAAAATAAAAACAAAACAAAAAAATAATAATAAAAAAAAATAAAAAAAATAAGAAAAGTAGCCAAAAAAATAAAATAGCTTCTGACGAAGCTGTCGTCCCCATTAATACCGCCAATATATGTGGACCATTTAAATTCTGTCTTGGAATGCGTCCACTTGATAATTGTGAGAATATTCCGATTATGTTTGCTAATCAAGATTAGGTTTGACACCACCAAATTAATCACCTTTATATCAAATGTTTGAAACTTAATTTCCCGATTAAGGTCTCGTTTGATTGACAAGATTAGTCGTTATTCAACTAAATAATAAGATCTTGTTCAATGTTTGGTATTTCCAATAATTTTATGGGTTGACGCCTACAAATATTATGTTATCATTGGTTCATCTTGTCTTATCTTGAAGTTTTTTTATTGGACTTCTCTTGACAACCTTACACTATTGAGTTTTACACACAATCTAATGTTTTTGTGTGAAAAGTAGAAAGTTGTAGCATCTAGAAAAATCCTTCAAATAAAATTAATTGCTCCTACTTATGCATGATGCATGCATTTAGACCTCGTTTGGTTGTCAAAATAAGATCAGCCAACATAAAATTAAATAATCTAATAAGACTCAACTGCATTATTGAACATTGGAAGATCCAATAAAAAATATGCCTAAAATCTAAGATAAAACATGATAACATATTATTTACGGGTTGACCCGACAAGTTATTGGAAATACCAAACATCAAATAAAATCCCATTATTTAGTTAATCAAGGCTAATCTAGCCGACCAAAGAAACTGAGTTCTCAAGATCTCAGATCTTATATGGGATTGATTGACATTTCCAAGCTTCACTTTTATGTATCTATCTATATGTACTGTACAAATTTGCTGGATAGACACTGTCAATTACCCCACCTTATCACCAAATAAATACCAATAAATAAAAAAAAAAATAAAAAAAAAACTATTACATCCAATAATGTTTTGTTTCAGCAGCCATCTTTGATTCAAACCCGAGTAGATTGCAAACTCACTGCCAGAAGTGTTTGCTTACTTTTCTTCTTCCTTCCTCAAATGAACAAACACTAAACTATAAATGTTGGATTAGCAACAAAAAACAAAAATTTAGCAACAAAAAAAATATTAGCAACAAAAAAAATGAAGTTTGGGAGAGAATTAGCTGCAGAAATGGTGCAAGAATGGCAAGAAGCATACATGGACTACAAGCATCTCAAGAAGCTTCTAAAAGACATCTTCACATTCCGTCACCATAACAACAACAACCATGCACCGTCGTTTTCGACGCGTAAAAGTTTTCGCAAGAGGAAGATAATGCACCGGGTCTTCAGCGGGCTAACGGGCCGGCCCGGAAGCTCGCCAAGGAAGAGCAGCAACGATCATGAGGTCATCTTAGTCGGGCCGGTGGAGAAGGAGGGCTCTGTGATTTATTACCAGACGATGTTCTTGAGATCTTTCGAAGAAGGTTCCGAATTCGAGCTCGTGTTTTTCAAGAAACTCGACGAGGAGTTCAATAAGGTTTTGAGGTTTTACGAGACGAAAGTTGAGCAAGTTAGAGAAGAAGCTAAGGAGTTGAACAAACAAATGGACACACTTGTTGCTTTGAGGATTAAAGTGGTTGATGATGATAATATTTTTGTGGAGGATCAATTTGATCAAGAAATAGGTGTTAGTAATATTAATAATTCATCTCCTTTTTCTTCATTCAATTCCAAGAATCAAGGTAATTCGTTTTCTTGATTTTTTAAAATTTTAGTTTATTTTTTTTGTTTTTTTTGTGTATATATATTTATTTAGTGTTTTTGTTTTTTATTTTTGATGTGAAGGAAGAGTAAGTATGGATGTAATTGAAGAAGTTGAGATGAGCAATGAACAAAAGAAACCTCAGATGAACAAGAATGGGACTAAAAGTTTTCGTGAATTCTTGAACGAAACGAATGAAGGTAAATTTTCTTGATTTTTTCTCATAAATGGTAGGACAAAATGCACTTCGTCCCCTATAGATTTTCCGTTTTCGCACTGTTCCCCGAAAAAAAAAAATGGATAACCCCCTTCGAAATGTCGTTTATGTTGCACTTTTGCCCCATAAGCCAATTTTTGGTGGGCATCAAAAAATTAAATTAGCATTTTAAAGGGGCAGTGCGCAGAAAAATAATATTTTAAAGGGGCAACGTGCAATATAACTAACATTTGAAAGGGCAACGTGCAACTAGAAAACTCAATTCCGATGAATAACCCATCGGAATTCTGCTATCGGTGTAATGTGCAACAAGAATAATATTTCAAAGGGGGACGGACATTCACTTTTTTAAAATTTGAGGGGTAAGTGCGAAAATTAGAAATTTATAGAGGGGCATCGTGCAATTTTGAAGTACATATGAACTTGATCCCACTAATTCATTTGATTTTTCTTTTTTTTTTTTTGTGGGTTCTGTTTTTTATATATGAAGGTGGATTTAGTTTGGATGTAATTCAAGAAGTTGAAATAAGCAATGAGGAGGGTAAAAGTACTTTTAAGCAATCTCCGAAAAAAGATTTGGATCATGTAAAGATCAATGTCGAACCAGATACTCCCGTTTCGACTTTAAGAACCGTGATTATGAGTTCGTCAAAACCGAGTCTGTCGTTTAGTAAAGACGAGCTTCGAAAAGCAGAGGAAAAACTTAAACGGGCCTTCGTGGAATTTCACCACAAACTTCGACTTCTCAAAAGCTACTGGTAAAATTTAGAAAACCGTATATATATGTTATAATGTATGTTTCCCCTGCAATTTTTCGATAAAGAGTAATATGTATAATGTGTACAGTTTAATGAATACGCTTGCTTTCACAAAGATTATGAAGAAATACGACAAGGTATAAAATACTTCACCAAGACGTCGTTTTTTCGGTTAATATTTATTTATTTTTTGGTGTAAAATGCTTCACTTAATTAATTACTTGCAGACCACTTCAAGAAATGCTTCGACATCTTACTTAGCGATGGTTGATCAATCTTTTCTTGGCAGCTCCGACGAGGTTTTGTCCCGTTAAACATATCATTATTAGACGAAAAAAATATCGTTTTTTTTTTTCACATAATAATTAAGTTTCGACTCTTCGATCGGTTTTCTCAGGTTAATAGTCTCATAAAGAGATTAGAAGCCTCATTCATTAAGCACTTCACAAACGGAAATCGAAGAAAAGGAATGAAATTCTTGAGACCGATCGATAAAAAGGAGAAGCACTTAACCTCGTTTTCTACCGGTAATTATCTTTTAAAAACAAGAAATCAGACACACAAAAAAAAAAAGATATAAATTAAATTCAACTATTTAAAAAAAATGCAGGTTTATTCGCCGGTTGCTCTATAGCACTAATCGGGGGTATAAGCGTCTCGTTACACGCACGAGAGCTTTTAGATCACGAAGGAAGAGGCCAATATATGGACAATATATTCCCACTATATAGTTTTTTCGCATACATTTTCTTACACATGGTTATGTACGGCGCAAACACGTATTTTTGGAGGCGATTTCGTGTGAATTACCCTTTTATATTCGGATTCAAACAAGGGACGGAATTGGGATTTCGAGAAATCCTTCTTCTTGCTTCCGGAATATCTGTTCTTACATTCTCTGCTGTACTGTCTACCCTCGACATGGATATGGACCCCGAAACGCAAAGTTTTCGGACAATAGCGGAGCTGGTCCCACTCATTCTAGTTGCCGTAAGTATATATATACATATATATATATATATATATATATATATATATATATATATATATATATATATATATATATATATATATACAAATAATTATGTAATTTTCTTACAAATATTTCTCTTAATATTTATTGATAAGTACTTACTTTCATTTTTCTAGGTTGTGCTTGTTATTACATTCTGCCCTTTGAATATTATATACCGTTCGAGCCGTTTCTTTCTCATTCGATCTGCATGGCGTTGTATTTGTGCTCCTCTGTACAAGGTATGCATGCATGTGTGTGTGTGTGTGTGTGTGTGTGTGTGTGTGTGTATTTATATATATTTCAACTATGGGTGTATTTTTTCGATCGTAGGTTGCATTTGTCGATTTCTTTTTGGCGGATCAATTAACGAGCCAAATCCAAGCGATAAGAAGTTTGCAGTTTTACATATGTTACTACGGATGGGGAGATTTCAAAAGAAGATCGAATAAGTGCCTTGAAAACGAAACCTACCAACATTTTTATATAATCGTCGCCATTATTCCGTTTTGGTTGCGTTTTCTTCAGGTAATTAGTAAAAAAAGATTTTGAAATTTTCGATCTTCGAATTTTAATTTCATCTTATGTAGTTAAAAACAATTGAATCATTTGTTTTTAGTGCATTCGAAGACTAGTCGAGGAGAGAAATGCGATGCAAGGGCTAAACGGGCTGAAATATTTCTCGACGGTGATTGCACTTGTGATGAGGACGATGTTCGAACTTAGGAGACAAACGTTTTGGAGAGTCATGGCTGCTTCGACTTCCGGAATTACGACGATTTACAATACGTATTGGGATATTGTTATGGATTGGGGTCTTTTCCAAAAGAAATCCAAGAACAAATTTTTGAGGAATAAGCTTCTAATACAATACAAGTCTGTATATTATGTTGCTATAGTGAGTATTTCTCGAACCATTTAAAAAAAGAAAAAGGCGGGAATTCGGAATTCTTGATTTTACGGTGAATGTTTCTAACTTGGAAAATTGCAGGTGGTGAACATATTATTAAGGCTTGTTTGGATGCAGTTGGTTCTTGATTTCAACGAATTGCCGTTTCTGCACAGGAGAGCTATGGTTACTGTTGTGGCCTGTTTGGAGATTCTTCGACGTGGGATTTGGAATTTTTTCAGGTATATTAATTTGGTTAATATATATATAAAAAAAAAAAAAGAAAAAAAAAAATCGGTGAAATGGCTATCGGATTTGCTTGTTTATTACAGTAGTGACAGCAGTTTTAACGTCTGGTTAGGTTGGAGAACGAGCACTTCAACAACGTTGGAAACTATCGAGCGTTCAATCCTGTAGCGTTGCCGTTTTACTACGAAGACGAAAAGACGATGTGACAGTGTGTGTGTGTGTGTATATAGAGAGAGAAATTTTCGATAGAAATCTCTTTGCAAGAGATCGATATATATTATTCTTCCTTCTTTTGCATTGTTTGGATTTCTTGTTATTTGTTACAGGCCAATGGTTTGTAAAATTGGCAGACTTTGGCTCTGGTTTTATTTTATTATATATATAAAAAAAAATTCTTTTCATTCTATTATTCAAAATTAGATAGTCTTTAGAGTAATATATATACATACATACATATATATACGTGTGTGTGTGTGTGTGTGTGTGTGTGTGAAGTTAACAAGGCAGAAAATTGCAAATACCATAATTTTCATTCAATCCAAAACATGAAATCCAAAATTTCACTACATTACATTCTGTATGTAGGCATATCTTATTACACACCATATTCTTACAACTTATTTTTTAAATATTCGAGAAAAAATACGCTACTTTATTTAGGGGGGGAGCGAACGTCTTCATTTGCATCCTCACCTTTATGCAAGTTCAAAAAAGATTCCGAGGGCGAATTCTCTTCCGTAAGTGCCCCTGTACTGTCGTTATCCTGGTTCCCAAATAGATAAGACAACGACATAGGATTATAAGTAGAGCTCGCCTTCTTAAGACCTTGTATAGCTTTAATTGCAGCAAGGGTACTCCTGTAAATATCCATCGTTTCTTCCCCAAGGGGCATCGATGATTTATCAGCCCCTGTCTGCTCCGTTTGCACATTTTGAACAGTGACAGATTCAACAACTTCAGCTTCCAATGGAAAAAGAACTTCGAGATTTGCTTCGCACTCGCGAACTAATCTAGTGAGAGGTTCGATTGTGAAAAAGGGCTGATGAAAGGCAAGCTGGGTAAACGGTAGGCTCAGTAATTCGCCGGTTCTTTTATCGTATTTCTTCAGAATCTTGATTAGACCTAATTTAAGATTTTTCAAGAAGATGGTTTCAGTAAATACAGAGATACGCGAGAAAAAAAGAAATTACGGGTTTAACTTTTGTTAACCTGCAAAGTTGAGGGAGCTGTAGTTTTTGAGAAGGACCATTTCACCGTGAATGGAAACAAACCCTTTTCGTATTTCCATCATTTCTTGGCTAAATTCGGTCTCGGAGGTGAATACTCCATCGGTACTTCCTCTCACCTTCAGTCGTTCGATTCTTTCTTTTAAGTCCTGAGAAAGGAAAAAAAAAACAGCTGGCAATGGTGAAAGGCCACACTTGATGTTATTACGTAATTAAATGGGATCAATAAAATATGAATTATCCCAACTAGTAGGGAAAAATATTAACTGAAATCTGCGCTCGTTCCGGATAAAAAATATCATAATTTTATTAGTTAAAAACGAGCAACGGGTATCAAGTATTCGAAACCGACACTTTAGCTCAATGACTACTGCTCATTTGCTTCAATAGTAGAGGAAGCTTATCGCTATTTTTCTTGGGCAAATTAGACAAGTACTTAATATTCTTCGTAGCCGACGAGATGTAAGTAAAATTCCTACGTCAAAGTTCTATTTTGCCCCCATACATTCTCATTTGCAAGATAAAATACAATTGCATTCGGGAAATTCGAAAACCTAAACAACAACCCCAATGAAACCAGTCAGCAAAATGTATGTAGCCGTTTGCTTCAACATCGATATTCGCATGATTTCAAATGTATCCCATTAATTAATATTAGGCTCTGTACCAGTTAGCAAATTGAAGTCAGGTCAAATAAATAAATCCCCATGGAAAACAGAATATACCTTAAGAGATACTTTTGAACCATCCATACAACTCCATAAAGATTGATCTCCACTTACATGTTTTAGTATTAAACTTTCCTCAGTCTCTCATCTCGTGTTTACCATCTCCATTTTTAGCTTATCTATCACATAGCTTTCATCTGTTTTCCGAAATTTCACAAACCATCAAAGATTACGAAACAACTTGCCACATTTCCTATATCGCCTTTCGTACTTTGAATAATGTTTTTGTTTTGCAGGTGCAATTTCTTGAAATGGACAAGTTCGACGGTTTCTACGTTTATAAGGAGAAGAAATCTCAATGGTACCCTTTTCCAGTACAGTAAATTCTTAAATCTTGTCAAACTCAACACACACACACACACACACACACACACATTTGTAAATACACACACACACACACACACACACACACACACACACACACATTTGTAAATACGCACACACATTTGTAAATACACACACACACACACACACACACACACACACACACACACACAGGCAAAACTCCATTCTCTGTATGAAATTTTTTGAAATATGAACTTGAGTTCTTTTGTCATACTATGCTCAAATTTCCTACTTGGATTTCAATTACATCCCCAAATTGAATTCGAAATTAATTTATCAATAAGCTAAAAAATATCAACAAAATCAACGAATCAAAATCCTTCAAATCCTAAATCAATTGATCCGATCCCCAAAATCATGAAAAAAAAAAAGAGGGGAAAAAAACCTGGAATCGGATGATGAAGTCTTCCTCCTTATCGACGTAGAAATCGTTGAACTTGTCGAGCTCAACGTTAAGTATCCCCACAAACCACTCCTGAATCTCCGGCAAAGGTCCGTCCGGCGGCGGATTATCAGCGGCGGTGGCCGGAATATTCTTCAGGAGCTTCTTCAGGGGCTTGTACGACAAATACTTGTCCCTCCATTCCGGTAGGGTTTCTTCCAAATGTATCCTGAATTCCTTCCCGAATTTCATTAATTTTTTTTGTTCGTCTGTAATTATCTCCAAAATCAAAATTGATTGCTGCAGTAGGGTTCGATTTCGATCAGCCGCGATTCGAGAGAAATTGATAGAAATGGAATAATCGAATATAATTTGTGAAGAAGAAAGGGCAATTTGACAGGGATGAAGAAACTAGTGGAGAATTTGCTACGGAATCTTAACTTCTGACAGATATCAAGAGACGTTCGTCGTTAATTAATACATTTGCAGGCTGTATATATATAGATTAAGGGTTTATTAGGGAAAACCCCCTTGTTCATATTTTCTAATGAGGTAGATCCAATTTTTTTTCCCCTTTTTGAGATACACCCAATTTTGCCAACTTGGCAAAATATATTATATAATTTCCCTTTAATACCCATGTTTTATTATTAAACGGCATTTATTTCCTTTAATACGTGATTTGAGATTTGCTGATACGTTGCCTAAAATCACGGAATAAATTTACGTGAGATCATTGGCCGTTATATCAAATCGTGTGCAATATTTTTTGAAGATTCTCTTCATCGTTCCAGCGGGTTTTATCGTCATTGAAGATTTCTGCACCGTCGTGGAAATAGGATCGATTTTTGAGCGTTTGTTGTTGGACGTTGTTAAGCGGGTATGAATGCGTTATTCGTTTTTATTTTTTGCTCAATATCCATGATTGTCGTGTACGGTGGTTAGAAATTTTTAAGAGTTGTGTTGATACTTGATTCTATTAAGTAGAACGTTTTTTAACAAAATTATTCCGTCATATATATCGTTTTTCTTGGCCGATGATGTTTGTTTGGAAGAGGATTGACAGAGTTAGAAGAGGATGGTTCACGCAGATCGGACCAGAGTTGTTTTATATGAGCTTCGTAGTTGGTTTATGCAATAATCGGAATAATTGTCCGCTTTGGTCGAGTTCATGTTTTTATCCCGATCGATAGTTGGTTTATTTGTTTATAACAGTCGATTTAAGTGTGCTGGGTAGTACATTAAAATATAGTTCGTAGTCTTTTTTAATTTAGCGTATGAATTTTGCATTTTAAGTTTATTTTTGATGATATTAATGTATTATCATTCAAATGTATTTGCAGTCTATTTAATTATTTTTTAGTATTCTGCATTTTTAATTTTGTTTCATGATTTTAGGTTTTTTCGATGGCGAATTTCGTACGGATTTTGTTGAGGTTTGGTGGGTTGATTGCTATAAATAGGTGTTTACGATGTAATGGCTCGGTAACTTCGGTTAAGTGTTAAACCGTTGTAATACAGTAGTATACTATTATGAATACCGTATGATACTACCATTATCATTTTATTATACTATTATGAGATTATTAATGTACTAGAGCTTTTTAACTCGACATATTGGTTTGATTGTGTTATGATGTGTTTTATGTATTTTATCAAAACCCTTGATTGAAATTATGAGATTATTAATGTACTATTTTATTGGTTATGTGGAATACTTTACGTTGGTGTTGTTCTCAATGTTCTTGTCATTTCAGTGGTATATTGTTTGTAACACAATTTCATATCAATATTATAACCGTAATATACTATCATAGCAGATTAATGTACTATATTGAAATTATTAATATACTATGTGGTTGAATAATACGGGATCCATAGTCTATTAACGAGATCCATAGTCGAATTAGATCAATAAGATAGTCTATTACATGATATAAGGAAAATTACCCTAATTGATTAGTATAACAAACATATTATTCAGTTTCCATATATATTATTATTTTTTCATATATATTATTATTTACCCTAATCGTTTTCATATAATAAGGAAAATTACCCTAATTGATTAGTATTTCAAACAAACATATTATTCAGTTTCCATATATATTATTATTTTTTCGAATAGTCAATTAATTAAACCCATAGTCGAATTAGATACATGGGATAGTCTATTAAAAGATATGAGACAGTCTATTAATTTTAAAAAGGTAAAGTAACGGGATTTGTGGGATTTGATTGAGGGTAATTATGTAATTACGAAAAGTTTGGGCTTTTATCAAAATGGCAAATTTAAATTTGGGTCTACCCCTATTATTTGAATGTTTAAGGGGGTTATATCTAATAGACCCATAGATTAAATATACACACACACATGACACAACAACTGTTGGAATATTCCCAGTCTAAGATGCCTTTTCTAATGAAAGTGGCACGAAATGGCAAAAATAAAATAAAAAAGGCAACAAAAGTATAGAAATTATAAATAATGTAGTTGAATGTAATTAGGATAAGAAGGAATATGTAAATAATAGAAGTAGAATAGATTATTTATTTATTACTCCTTGCCCGCATATTCATATTAATAAAATGGGTAAATTTCACTTTTCACCCTTGTACTTTGATTTGGTATTACTTTACCCTCTCTACTCTCAATTGCATCGATTTTCCCCCATGTACTTGAAAAAAATTGTCTCCCCTCAAGGGGTTGTCTAGGGTCCGAGATGGTTGTACTTCTAGTAAAATAGTGATAGTCTGACTATTGAGGTATCATATCGAATCATGCACATTCTAGTAATCTTTTAGATTGCAGGAGGGCTAAAGCTATTTTAGGTCTTACTCTGAAATTCCTCCTTTTCTACGCCGGCCGTCGTCGGTTTTTTTCTTTTGTACTTTTGACTCTAAGCTTGTGAAAGTTCTTCATTATATTGTCAAGATCACAAGTTGCTTTTTATGATAATAATCAATCAGAATTTAAATTCAAGTTTTTTCCTTTTCTGTCTAATTTTTTTTTGGTGGAATACATATAATGAATGGGATCCTGATAGATAATATGCACTTGGCCTATTAGAGTTAGGCTGCAACAAATCTACAATTTCATGATAATGAATTAATTGATTAAGCAATTAAAGATGTAATATGGATTGATTTTATTATTGGTTTTGATCTTAACTCAAGGCCAATATTCTTATGTTAGTAAAAAAGGTCACCAAAGTTATATACCACGAGTAAGAGTTCCGATATATGTAAAGATGCGATGAGGACAAATTTGAAATGCTAATTTTTGTAAACGAATGCATTTGCAGGTTTGTTGAGGAATGTGACACCGATTTCATACCATAAGGGGATCATGTGCAAAATTTCAAAACCACAAGGGGGTTATCTGCCTAATTTCATACCATAAGGGGGTCATGTGCAAAATGTCCAAACCACGAGGGGGTTAAGTGCTATTTACCCTATTAATAATTTACGAGATAATTTGAAGAAGATATAGTAATTGCACCCCGGTAAATTAATTAGTTTCATTGCACTACATCAAATTTGTTCCACTGTCGTCAATGGCGAGTCCAGGAATTTGTTGAGGGTAGGTTTAAATTTTTGGGAGTACGGGGGCAGCGCCCCCGAATTTTTTTTTTACGAAATCAGAAAATAGGAAATGAAAAAAAGGAAAAGTAAAAAAAATCAGAGCTTTTTTTTGCATCAATTTGAATTTTGGGTGGGCTAATTATCAAAATTGGATCTTTTTTTGAATTAATTTGAATTTTGGGTGGACTAATTAATAAAAATAGGTGTTTTCTTGTATTAATTTAAATTTGGGTGGGGCTAATTAATAAAAATTTGGTGGGCTAACTAGATATATAGGTATAATATAGGGTAAAAATTATACATTTAGGGGGTTGAGTTCACCCTTGCCCAAGGGTGGACTCGCCCCTGACTTTCGTTGTCATCGTCGAAGCTCTGCCGCACCAAATCACACACCTGCATACACACATACAATAACACTTCCATTCCACATCGAAAGAAATGTGAGATTCCGTGTGAGCTTATCAGAAAGTTCCTACTGCCACTGGACTGCCACTGGACACGAATACATTTCATGGATTTTTAGGGTGGGCTCGTAATAGGCCCGTTGTTGCCGCGATGCCCAATGGACCAGTAGATTGGCTAAAGGACCGGTTGGAAAGTCAGGAGCGTTACAAATGGCATTAGAGCCAACCCGGATTAAAAAGGGAAAAAAATGAACAATTGTTTGTTGGTGGTGATTTAGGCACCCGAAATTTAAGTATTTAAGTTGTTGCTTATCAATGTAACTAAGCTGTGTAACTAAATTATGCAAGTGAACTTCTAAGTTGTCTAATTAACCAAATTTCACAGTAAAATTATATGAAATACATAATGTTTTTGCAAATTATTGTCAGTGTAAATTGTGTATTTGTTGTGGGATACATCTCGTCATAAATTTTTTTTTTTCATTTTTTTAACTATATTTTTGCTTATTAACATAACTAAACAAATGTTGAATTTCAACGAATGCACTCAAACTGGGCAAGAAAGGATCTTTAGTTAGTATCTTGCTTATTGGTATTCGGCAAACGCATCATCCCTAAATAGAACAAGCCCATCGTAGTCAACGAAATTTAGGTCGAAATAAAACTAAAAGCTAATCAAAATTCACAATCCTTCAAATATTGTTGAATATTGAGTTAGTGTGACTAGTTTAAACCATACTTAAATCCATCATTAGCTCCATCTTTAACCGATTAAATATCACGACCTCTTGAGCAGCAAACGAGCTATATCTTCTCGAGAGCCTGAAGAATGTCCGTTTTCAAATCCTCAAAGTCTTCAACTCCAAAGCTGAATCGAACCAAGTTGTCCATTATTCCATACTTAGCCCTCTCTTTCTGTGAAAGATCCCTGTTCAAACACATCATGTGTTATGTGGGGACGTAAATCAAGAATCGAAAAGTCTTGAGTTATTATAATAAAGCGAAAAGACAAAAAAGAAAAAGACGAACCAATAAGACATTATAGCCGGTTGATCGACAATGCTTTCGCAGCCTCCAAACGAGGGTGCTATATACGGAATTCTTAGAGCATCAATGAATTTTGAAGTGGTCAATAAGTCTCCATCAACCTAATCAAATTTACCCTTATGGTCAACTTACGGAAGAAAACATCTGTTTTTATTTTATTTTTTGAAAAAAAAAACGCTTGCTCTATTTTTATTAATTAATACTGACCTCAAAACTTACAACACCACCAAAACCACTCATTTGCCTCTTAGCAAGGTTATGTTCTGGATGACTAACCAAGCCTGGATAATATACACGCGTAATCTGCATTCATGGTTTCGCACGTTACTTTACACAAAATAAAGCAGAAAAAAAATAGCGTGCGGAAAAAAAAAAAAGGAAATTGATTAATGAAAGTTTACGTAAGCTTTTTGTATGTATAAATGGTTTTATATGCTATAAAGTACCTTGGGATGTGCCTCTAAAATCTCGGCCATCCTCTGTGCTGTTGAGTTTTGCTGCTGTATACGAAGATGCAGTGTCTTCATGCCCCTGATTATCAGATATGCAGCATTCTGACAAAAGAAACGACAAAATAAACCATACTTAATAAATAATAAAACTATGCGAAGAGATAAGACAACCCAATTAAGCCAAAGAATTTTAATCTGGAATTAACTTACGGGATTTAGAGCACCACCAATAATATTATGCAATACACGAACAGTTGAAATCAACTTCTCAGAGCCACTGATAGATCCTGCAAGAACCTGTCGAGAAAATTCCCTTGTTCAGTAAGACTTAGTATGTAATACCGAAAAAACTAATTATAATGGTATATATATATATATAAGAGTCAACATACATCATTGTGACCAGCGATGAATTTAGTTGCAGAATGTAGTACAATATCAGCACCAAGTTTGAGGGACTTCTGGTTGAGAGGAGTTGCAAATGTGCCGTCTATGCAAACCAAGGCTCCTTTGTCATGGCAGAGCTTAGATACAAGCTCGATGTCAACACATCTCAGAAAAGGGTTGGTCGGAGACTCCGTGAAGAAAAGTGTCACCTATTTGGGAAAAAAATAAATATGCTTAGTCAAATTAGAACTAACAAGAAAATTAAACGAGAATTTATACATATATAGACATTCTTATTCAATACTTACGTTATTCTTCTCCAATGCTGACTCAAGACCTACGATATCAGCAGGATCAATGACAGTTGCCTGCAATTTTTTTAATCATGTAAAATTAATCATACATAGAAAACATAAGTTTATTGCAACTAGTACCCCTGTGTTATACCGAATTGCTAAAAGTACCGCATGCTATTTTATTGGCAAAAACCCCCCGATTATTTAATTTTTTTAGCAATTAGTATCCATGTTTGGGGGATTGTGTGCTAAAAAAGAATGAATAAACCCGAAAACGTATCTACAAATCTTTCCACTTCATCTAAATGTATTACTTCCCTTTTCCCTTTTGTTCAACTTAAATTATGTATTTGTTCCAAAATTCGTTTTTCGAGTAGTGAAACTTTTTCAATGTTCTCAATAGCGACAAAAAAAGAAAAAAAGATCAAGTTTGTGGGTTTGAAAGCTCATACAGTGATTCCCATTTTGGGAAGAAATGTCTCGATAAATATCCGAGTCTTTCTATAGCAGTCAGTGGTAGTAATTAGATGTCCTCCAGCAGGGATCAGTGCCATTAACATGACAGTGCTTGCACACATTCCAGATGCCATCAAAATTGTCGATTCTGCCCCTTCCAGCGCACTAGTACAATTTTTGCAAGAGACAAAAGGTGGTTTCTCGTGTTAGCTACCCGTAATTCATACCAAGATGTATACTAGAAGATGGGAAAAAGAATGCAAGAATCAACTGACCTTATCTTCTCCTCTGCCACAATAGTAGTGTAGTTTCCATAGCGCCCGTATTCGAAACTTGCAAGTCTTTTTTCCTGCAAAAGAAATAAAGAGATTCTATTTTCATCACGTACATCTCAACTGTGATAAACAAGTGCATGTTTGTACATTTTTAGGGGAAAAAAAGGGAGTTGTGCATCATGCTACTGGGTCGAAGTTAGGATTAAGGCTAAATAATCTCCAATTGTTACAAAAAAAGGCGAATAGAAAATGGGTCTTGCATGCTTAGCAAAGTGGTCGTACTTTGTATAATTAGAGAATTTGTGCTCTAGCTCATATAAATTAAGTCCTTTTACTTTCTTGTCAATGGTTGGGCTTCCAATATGGATTTCTATGAATTTTGACGATTCCCTCTTGATAAGTAGGTGGTGTAATAGGGATTAGTACAATGCTCAATCTTGATGCCTATGAAATGATTGACAATACCTTGAAATCAATGAGATCAGCAGTTTTCTTGAAGAAATAAGCCGATGTATTAACTACAGGGGTAGTTATTGCATCAGTAGCAATGCCACGACCCAATCTTTCACCTGGAAAAATGAATTCCCGTAGTTATAGACAACGGAAAAAGCCCAGTATTGAGCGCAAGGCTAATGCAGAACAAATGTAAGACGTATGACAAAATCAGCAATCATCAGAAATTTGTAAAATTAAAATAAAAATTACAAATCATATCTTTTCCAAAATCGAAACATCGGAGAGCACGATCAACTCGAAAAGAGGATTCAGCATTATCATAGAAAATTAGTAACTAGTAATCAGTAATATATCCTCTTTTCATAAAATCATGAAAAAAAAACAACATCAAAATCAAATTATTTTAATTAATTAATGACTTACCAGCATGAATTGCAATGCTGCCATCGGAGCTCAAAAAGGAAGCGTAATTGGAATAAGGGGAACCGTTAAGCTGTACATTATCGGCATTACAAATAATCTCCTCAGCTGCCTCAACCGCCGCGTCGACGGCCTTAGCAGCCGGCGTGGCTTGATTCTCCGACCACGAGGCCGCCACCACCTGAGCAACACCGATGTTGCTGCAGTTCCTCCGCGCCTTGTTGCTCAGCTGACGGACGAAATTAGGGGGGAACTTGAAAATGAGCGAAGACAAACCGCGCGCCGCCACCGAGCATCGAGGACCGGGCGATTTAGCCTTGACGGAGAATCCGCATCCGGCGGAGGGGATCTCCGGCCGGGAGAAATCGGGATCGGAGCGACACTCGAATGACGAGAATGCCCTTGCGCAGCTAGAGACGGCCATTAGGGTTAGTGAAGGTTTTTAGAAATTCAAGTGTTGTTTTATTGAACCGTTGCAAAATTTAAAATTTATTAAATTTATATACATAACAAAACATATTTAATTTATGAAATAATTAACTTTTCGATTATCTTTAAAAAATAAAAAAATAATAAAAATTAATTAAATAGAAGTTCATAAAGATATTTCAAATAAATAAATGCCAAAGGCCCAATTTTGTGGAAAAAGCCCGTCAACATTGGGTCTTTCTAAAGTCCATCAATATACTACTAAATTTCTTATTCGAAAAGAAATCTACTTTTCTTTTTTTAAATCATTTAAATGAAAAATGTTTTATTATATTATATTTCAATTATAATCGACATGCATTTATTTAATGAAATGTTTTTTACGGTTTGAAAATTGCTATTGCTATTTACAGTTTATAACAAAAAATACTTTATCTCTCTAAAACCCCAAAACTTCCTAAAAAAATCAAAAAACCCCCCAAACTGCAAATAGCAAAAAAAAAAAAAAAATTTCAAAAATTCGAAATCAAGCTTGAAGAAGGGTTGGGCTTCGATTTTTTGAGGTAATTTCGACTCTTTTATGTGTAATATGCATTTGGTAGGTCGATTATGGAACCAATTTCATGTAAAACAGCCCTACAAATCGATTTGTACGGCTTTTATATTTTTCACAAAAACGTGTTGGAACACCCAAGATGGGCGCCCAAGGCGTGTACGAACGTCCGTACATGCCTTGGGCGTTCAATTAAAAAAAAAATTGCACTGGACGCCCAACTCGGGCGCCCAAATGCAGCTTTTACGCGTTTTGGGGGGTTTTGGATTTTTTAAGAAGTTTTGGGGTTTTAGAGAGATAAAGTGTTTTTTGTTATAAACCGAAAATAGCAATTTTCAAACCGTAAAAAGCAAGTCCCAAACAGATGAAATAATTATAGTATTCGAGTTTTGTACGACTAAATCTTGAAAGTAAATGATCTTTTTCGCTAGTTTTGTATAAATTCAAATACAGTTACAAATCTAGTTGTGTAGCCAAAAACTGAAAAGGTAGTCGATTACATGTTGCGAGGTCCGATGACAATTTTCATACGAGGATGAACTAGTGAAAAAGATCATTTACTTTCAAGATTTAGTCATTCGAATACTATAATTATTTCATTTGTTTCTTTTAAGTATCGTGTAAGATAAATGTACGTCAATTAAGGAAATATTACATAGTGTTGATTTAGGGGGAAAAACTAATTCTTTAAGACTTTTAATTAAAAAAATTGTTCTTCGGTATACATTATTTTTTCTTGCAAAAAAACACTTCAAGAGAAATGGAGTGAGTAATATAATAATATTTATTTTGAAAATTATGCAAGGAAATATTAATTTCATTTTGGCGAGCTTGCGTCAAACTCCCTATATTGAGCTTATTAAATAGTATAAAGATAAAATCTAGGGGTCCGAATAGATTTATTAGGTCCAACGCCCCAATACACGTTAAAGTCAAAGTTTTTTTGGTAGCTCGTTAGTTTCAAGTTCGCTAAACGCTTTTCATTGAGATATATGAGGGTGACGAGCTCGTCAGCTCATTTGAACATGCAAGAGAAGATGGAGCGTAGCTGAATGAAAGAATTGGAAGAAGGATATTCTCCCTAAATAGATAAGGAAATTATGTAAATCAGAAATAGTGATTGATCAATCAATGTAAATCTCGACGAATATAAAGATTCTACAATAGAATAGTCATACACAATTCTCTACAACAATGAGTGTACAACATACACACTTTTATACTCTCTTTTAAGTTATCTTTTTTTTTTTTTTCCCGTCCATCTAATTCATCTTCTCTTACAAAAGATCGTAAAAAATTCCCGACGATTAGGTAAATAAGATTCAGAAGTAGATCTTGAGGTGCGAATACTGCACCATCAAATATAATAAAATAATAATAATAAATTGCAGAAGTGACAGGCATGTGAAATGTGATCCAATTATTCATGAAAAGTAAATGCATCCTAATGTACAATATTGTTTTGAATACGAAAATGTGGTCTACATTTATTTTAACTCCCACTCCACGGATTCAATACAGTCTGGCTTCTTAAATGCTCTATTTATTAGTGCCAATTATAACTATTTTACATTTTATTTTATTTTATTTTTCCTATCTAATTTCTAATATAATTAATTACCATGAGTATTTTTATAAAGTATTAAGGAACATCATTCTACTTTAATCAGACTTTTAGAATTATATATACTTTATATATACATAAATAAATCAAATTTTAAGAATTATTTTTGTGATTTACCCTTAAGGCTTAAAATATAGGGTAAATTCTACTTTCCCCCTTGTACTTTGCCTCGATGTCACTTTACCCCCTTCTAGTCTTGATTGCATAGGTTTACCCCCTGCATTTGAAAAATTATCTCAATGTGACCCTTGCCATTAGTTTTCAGATCTTTGACATTAACACTGTTTGGTCTAAGGTCTGAAAATTACAAAAAAACAACTCCAACCAATTTAAATAATTATAAAAAAAATAAAAATAAAAAAATATGATTGCCGTCGTGGACTATGTTTTGTCGTTGTTTTGATTTATTTATTTTTTTGGTTGTATTTTTTTTCATAATTATTTAAACTGGGAGGGTAACACTTTTGTAATTTCAGAGCTTAGACCAAACAGTATTAAGGTCAAATATCTGACAAAAGTGATACTGAACCAAAGTACAAGGGAGAAAGTGAAATTTGTCCTAAAATATATACTAACGGCCAACGGGTGATCGTTGGGAATAGAACCAATCAGAATTAATTTAATCAGAAAAAATAATAATAAGTCTACCACATAATTAGTGCAATTTGTAATGGAAAAGTATCTCACATTGAAATTATAATCAGTTTTTTGTTTATTTAATTATTAATTAAAGAGTAAATTACAACCACCTTTTCGAGATATGGTCAAATTACGAAAATCCCCCTCAAGTTTGGGTAATTACAACTACCCCATCAACTATAAAATTTAGTGGAATCTTCTAGATTATATGGAATGTTATCACTTTTGTACCCATTTTATCCCATTCGAACTCCACATTTTGAAGTAAAATGATCATAATATGTGTTTTTTGGCTTGTATATATCAGATTGTGATGCATCAGAAACTGTATTTTTACACAAAACGAGTACAAACTAGAGCACATTCCACGAAATTCAGATGATTATGTTGAATTTGACACCATAAGGGTGGAGGCGTAAGAGAAAAATCATAGTTGAGGGGTAGATGTAATTATCCAAACAAGAGGGGTTTCTTCGTAAATTAACCATACCTCAGGGGGTTTGTTGTAATTGAGCCTTAATTAAATCGTTATGAACATTACATAAGAAAAACGATTGGACCACATTTGGGCAAACCCTTGGATATATATATATATATATATATATATATATATATATATATATATATATATATATATATATATATTATATTATATACTCATATATATATATATATATATATATATATATATATATATATATATATATATATATATATATATATATATATATATATATATATATATATATATATATATATATGTACACACACTCGCAATGAATTTGTGTTAAGTAATTGTCGAAGATCTACATAAACCATGTTCTCATTTTTCATGCTATTTAATATTTATAATGAGAAATATGAAATGTGTGGATAAAAGTAATTGTTTAATTTCATAAATAAATAAATAAAATAAAATATAAAAAACTCTTCGATAATTTATTTGTCAAATAATGTTTTTTTTCCCATACCAAATCTACTCTTTGCTATTAACTTTAGATAGAGAAAATTATGTGTTACAAATAAGAGTGATGAATACTGTTTTAATAAAGTTTTTGCATGTAAACGCACGTTCGCAAGTTATATACTTATGGATAATGATTTAAAACTTGTGTAAATCTCTTATGTTGTATTTTCAATATTAATTTTCACGAATTCGATTCAAAATTATAAAAGAATAAAATTTAACTAGTGTCAGCTAACGCCCGAGTTCGAAAAAACAAAAAAGGAAAATAGGGAAATAAAAATTTCTACATTTCGAAATCGAGTCATTCAAAATATCGGTGAATCAGAAGGCGAAGAATTCACGAGATTAAGAATGCTATCCCAATAATTCCGGTTACCCTCACAACTATCTCCATCGCTTCCGTTGCTATTGTCCGACTCTCCGCCGTCACCCTCATCACAAGAATTGTTGAGCAAAAGATCTGTAAATGTTTCGGCAAAATTGTCACTAGGAACATGCTCGGAAGTATGCCCTAGCATTGATTCCGACGCCCATTCCGTCGAGAATAGCGGTGGCTCATGCAATTCCGGCGTAAATTGGACCGGATTATCGATCCCCTCGTCTCTTAGTGCCGCCAAATAATTTCCCGAGTCTTTTTCTCTTTCTAATTCATCCGTGAGTATGCCTTCTCCGACATGCTCAAGAAATGATGAGCTCGTCTTTTCCCACGCGCCGCCGATCCATCCCTTTAGCACGTCAGGGTACGGGCTCGGGCCGACGGGCTTATGGACCGGGCTAGGCCCGGATGGAAATTCCGAGTCTTGAGCCTGTTTATAAATGTACAAAATTAACGGCACAAACTAGATTATATAAATTAATTTACAACACAATTAAATTAAATAAAGAATTAATTATATTTTACACCATCTATTTAATTAATCTACTTATTACTCCGTCATTTTCATTTTATTTGAATTTTAAACTAGTGCAAGAAAGAAAACTAATAAATGTGTATCTATTTCCAGAAAAAAATAAGACAGTGACAAAAATACCCCTAGGAATAGTTGTTTCATCATTAATTCTCTTTTAATAAATTAATAAGAGCACTATTGACAAAAAGTATATAATAAATGCTTCATGAAAGATATATTGAAATAATTGTTTTTTTTTTTTCTCGAAACGACAAATAAAATTGAAAGGATGGAGTAAATATTTCTAGTGTGGTATAAATATTAGCAAATACTCCCTAGGATTCAATTTATTTAGCAAATTACTTATAAAAATTTACTTAAAATTAGTAAACTCTTAAGTTAATTAATTTTAAAACAAAGTAAACAAATTAATGAATTAAACCTGAAAGGAATCAAGTGCGGGTGAGCGTAGTTTAGATTGCTTGACCAATCTGGCTTCAGCTTCGAGCCGAGCATTTTCCCACTGAGCCATATGGCTGAGATTAGCCGAGTTCTTCGAATGGCCGGATAAAAGGGTACCGTTTTTCGGCTTATGGGTAACCGGGTCAATGCCCATATTCGCCAGTCTTTTCTTGAGATGTGTGTTCCAATAATTCTTGATTTCATTGTCCGTTCTCTTCTGCAAATGAGTGGCTATGGCCGACCACCTGCGATCAAGAAATTAAAAAACGACACCGTTTTACAGCAAAAAAAGGCAGCCGATAAAACGACGCCGTTTTAATCAAGATTAATTCTCTGTACGTAAATAGATTTATTTGGTGAGAGATGGAAACAAACAAACAAGTGTGCATGGGGGGAGAGTAAATGCTGCTGCTACGTACTGATGATGATGATATATCTAAAAACCCTGACAGGAGTTCATTAATGCACATGCATAATAATTATTACTTTTAATTCAACCCCAAATGTTAAGAATTTATCAGGAAAAAATACTGGTAAATAATTACGAAAAACCCCTTGAACTTAGGCTAAATAATGAAAAACACTCCCGCAATAACCAAAATTCCCCTCTGATTAATGGTTGATTGAGTTTTTTTAACAGAAAATGCATATATTTTATTATATCTTTTTGTTAAATATGTGAGAAATAAAAGAAAATATCTAAAATTTGTGTAAAGTCTATTCCTTGGAATTAAAAAAAAATCCGTGAAAAGTCAAGCTGTGTAGGTGATTGGTGTAATGGATACAAACCTTAGGGGATTTTTGATAATTATGAATAGGTGGAGGTGGGGTTTTGTAATTTAATCTAAGTTTAAGGGTTTTCGTAATTTACCCACAAAATAATCATATTGTCTTGTTTTTTGGAAGGTTTTGTCACATTATTGAACCAATGATAAAGCAAGCTTCTGACCCTGTGACACACGCACTCTCACTCTAGATAGCTCCAATGAAGAGAGAGAGAGAGAGAGAGAGAGAGAGAGAGAGAGAGAGAGAGAGAGAGAGAGAGAGAGAGAGAGAGAGAGAGAGAGAGAGAGAACCTGTTTCCAAGGAGAGCGTGGAGCTGAATGATGGTGTGTTCTTCTTGGGAAGTGAATTTGCCTCTTTTAATATCAGGTCTCAAATAATTAGTCCACCTTAATCTGCAACTCTTTCCACATCTCTGCAACCCTATTATTAATTAATACACATTAATCTATTTGCATGAGATCTAGAGAGAGAGATCTAGAGAGAGAGAGAGAGAGAGATGCATGTACCGGCATTGAGAGGCAAGGCTCTCCAGCTTCCATGGCCGTTTTGTTGAATATAAGACAAGAGTTTGTCGTCTTCTTCACTTGTCCATGGCCCTTTCTTCAACCCTATTTTCTCGCAGCATGGGGTTCTACCCATTGTTTTTTTGCTCACCATGATATTATATCTATATATATGTGTACATATATATATATATATATATATATACGATGAAAAAATGGACTTATAATTCAAGACTTATGATCTGAAAGAATTTATGGTCCCGAATTCGTGTTGTACAGAGATGTTGTCTAAAATGTTATGACACTTGAGACAACATGCAGCGGAAATATAACAATTTAAAGGACAATGCTCAGAATTAAAAATGTTCACAAGTAAAGACTTGTGAACTTGTCCTTTTCAGGACGAAAAATATATTAAAATCAGTATTCCAAGAATACAAACAGAAGAGTGCGAAAACTTCTTCCTTATGAGTGAATCTTTTTCAAGATCACTCTTACAACCAAATCTAGATACTAAAAGAAAGATATCAAAAATTCTAGATTTCAAAGAATGTACTTATAAATAGTACGTACAACAGATCCTAGAAAACACACTAAAATTCTCGAGATTAAAACTTCAGCTCTATTTTGTTCTCTCGAAATCTGTAACAATCTTGAGTCTTGAGTTTGGTATTTATAGACTTGCCAAGCTTCCACTCTTCAGCCCATGATCTGCAAGAAAACCAACCCCAAGAGCACTCAAGATAATGGGTTAGTGGGTTAGTTAGGAAGTTAAAATAAATCCCATAATTAAATCCACTAAGCACTACTTAACCCTACTAAGCCCACTAACTAAGATTTAGTTTAGAAATTAAGAAAAGTTAAAAACACATTTGTGAATTTAATTCACGTGTTTCAAACTCCCCCTTTTTAACTTTCTGATCAAAACTAAATCTTAGTCAAAGACTCCCCCTGAGATATTGCTTGAACTCCCCCTGAATTTGATACCATTGGGAAAAAATAGAGAGGGGGCGGGATCGGAGAGTGTAGTGAATGAGTTGTATCTATCTATCTATCTATCTATCTATATATAGACTCTCGGTTTAAGTGTCGTTTAAGTTTAATTTCCGACATACGCATATAAAAAAAATTAATAAATATTCATCGAGTTTAGTGAGAATTAATATCTGAAATAATTTATGAGTAGTAAGGGCAAAATTGGAAAAAAAATGATTGTATTTTTTTTATGTGATTCGTACAATTCCACATCAAGTCGGTCTCCCAATTATATTATTCTTTTGATTAGGGCAGCATCCTCCTAAACCGTAGCCAATATTTGATGATATACGTAATGAAAATACACCAGATGATTAATAATCGCTGATCTGCACATAACTACACACACTCATATGTAAGTATGCTTAGTGGATGATTATTTAACTACATCAATAGTTAAAAATCACCCGATATATATAACACGGTGTAGTATCTCAATAATTACTAGGACCCGGGGATTAAATGAAAGCACTTTTCTTGGTAAGAAAAAAAAATGTGGCCAATGAATTATTTGATGATTATTAAACTACTACATGTAAATAGTGTATCATATTTATGACAAGTACTCGGGTCAATTATTCTTCCCATTTCCATTGGCTTTGGATCATATTAAATATTTTATCCGTGCCTAAATATTTGAAAAAATATATTTTTTCAAATTATTTGTTACATTATAATAGTAATTTTCAATAATGCATTAATTGTACTACTTTTCTTATAAATATTTTAATGAGAAAGTCTTCTTAGTCTTTTTATATTTATTTTTTCCTAAAGCCCATTATTTATTAATTTTATTAATATATGTGCAGGAACACAAAACGATAAATATTTATGGGGAATACGATGTTACACCTGGTGATTTTCACCGAATAGCTCTTTTCTTGACATGTGTCCTTTTTTATTTATTTTATAATTATATTTCTAAAATTCATTGGACCATAACTGAACCCGTAGTGGGAATCTTATTAATTAGGGTGTCTGGTTATATTCACCAGGTGTAGCATAGAATTTCCCAATATTTATGCACCCGTGTTTAAACAAAACAACAAATGTGGAAATTTATCTTTATTGGGGCCGGCTTTATACATTTAAGGAGGACTGAAAATCAAACCAAGCTACAGTTAAACCTCTGTAAATTTATATAATTGGGATTAGCAAAATTTTATTAATTTAGTGAAATATTAAATTATCGAACTAATAATTTAATAGGTTTTTACTGAGTGAGGACCGGAAGAAATTATTATTTTAGTGAGGTTATTAATTTATCGAGGTTCTACTGTATACTCGACTCAATTTGAGACTAATCGTAAAGAGTTCTTTGAGTTCGATTAGTTAACATAAGGAACCAAGCTTGAACACATATTTCCGTTAGTTAAGCTATGAAGTTAGCTCAAGTAAATTAACTATAATCAAGTTAACCATTTTATTTTGTTGAGGTTATCTTTATTTATTCGAGTATGTTGAAAATAAATAACTATCAATACATTTGTTTAATAAAATTTACTTTCAATAAAATTCACAGCAAGTGCAGCAAACAATCCTACTACACCAGAACCTCAATAAATTAATACTTAATAAATTAATAACCTTATTTAATTAATATGTTCTCGCAATTCTGACTCAAGGATAATGTGTTAAAAAATATTTCGCTAAATTAATATTTCGACAAATTAATAAAATTTGACTGATCTCAATTCTATTAATTTATAGAGCTTTCTTCTTTTGCGGTGAACTTCACCCTACTTTAAAATCCCATCAATATATTCTGGTCCCCAAAAATGGGTAAATAGTGGTGTCATTCAATTTACATCGAATTCAATAAATGGTTAATTCTTTTAGTTCTCTTGCAATAAATAGTGTTTATGGTAACATTAAATTTATGTAGACTTCTCTAGATAGTAGTAATTATTTCCTTTTCCAGTTAGAAGCTCATATATTATATACATATATCAAAAATAGTAGGGCAAATTACGGCCAATCTCAAGTTATGGTCAAATTACAAAAATCCCGTTATGTTTGGGTAATTACAGTCATCCCCTTTAACTATGTATTATCTTATAAAAATACACTCTCTAGAGGTAAATTGATATTAAATCGGTAAAACCGAACCGAAATTTCGGTACGCCAACATTTCATACTGTTTACCGAACTGAATATACGATTTGGTTCGGTAAATAACCAAATTACATAAATTTTATGTAAAAATATTTAAAAGGAGGGGTGGCTGTAATTACCCAAACATGATGAGTTTTTTCGTAATTTAACCATACCTTGGGTTGGCCATAATTTTTCCAAAATATTACTCAGTGTAATAAAAAGAAAATAAAAATAAAAATAAAAATAAAAATAAAAATAAAAGAGGCTATTTACTGCCGTGGGCCATTGAACTTTCTCAAGGGGCAAAATTGGAAATGAACAAAAGCCCAATTTATTAAAACATTGGGTGATAACAAAATGGCCCCCCTAAAATAAATTTTATGTGAATTCTGACAAACTCAAGTCATTGCTATATGGTCCAAGATAGTGTTAATGTAAATTACAACCACCTCCCTGAGGTAGTATAATTTTAAAAAGACAACCCCTCATTTTTACAAGATTACATACAAGCTCCTGAAGTTTTTAAATGTCTTACATCTATCTCCCACAAAAGTTGTTAATGTAAGAAATCTTCAAATTGCGTGGGGTGAACGTAATTATGAAAAAATGAAGGGTTTTTTCATAAAAAAACTTTACCTCGGGTGCGGTTGTAATTTAACCATAGTTTTAACTCAGCGTATTAAATATAGTAACTCATAAGGTTATATGCTACTCTGAATGCAGTAGTATTAAAAATGAAACTTTGTAATTCCTCCAATTAAAATTTCTTATTTAAATGATATTTTTCATTCCTAAGTCCCAAAAAAAAAAAAAAAAAAAAAACTGATTCTTTCGATTTTTTGGAGTGCAATTGAATATGTATGATATTGATTTTCGATTTGATTTTCATTTCAATTTTTTTTTTCTTTTTGAAGTTTTACTTTTAAGAACTCGTATATTTTGAAATGTACGTAAAAAAAAAGGATCTCTAAACTCCCTTCCGATATCCTTTTTTCAGGTTTGGTAGAAGTTTTTCATTTCACTTTCTGAAATTTCGAATTTCAATTATTTTGGTTACAAAACTTGAATTATTTACCTAGATAAAATTAATTACATAAATTGATACGATAAAAATTGATATTTACAGTCATTTTGAGACGTGGGATTCCAAAATTATATGGTGATTAATTACTATATTTGATGACTTCTTGCGCGCATAATATACAACTAGGGTCTATTCTATGTTACACCCAATGAAGTTTAATCAGAAATATCACACGAGGTACCTCATCTAACTCGGTGGACAATGATCTTCATATTCATGATTTAGATTGAGAAAACCGCGATTTACTAAATTATAGAGATTTTTGAGATATATCTAGTACATTGAATATAATATACATTTGACCATGTTATAATAGGGGATTATTTGATGCTACACCCAGTGAAAATAAACATTTTTTATTTATCATTTATGTGCTATTTTAGATTTTGACGGCATAATTATTTTAATTAATTAATTAATTTTTATCAATTTTGACTATTTATCATTAACGAGTGTTTATGTATTGTGGAGATAAAGAAATTATTTCATAACGTTTTTAATATGCCTAAAGGGTAATTTATTACATTTTCTACTAATTTCTTAGTACGTATTTTTAAAATATATACATATTTAGTTATTTATATTATTATTATTGTATAAAAAATGATATTTTAAATTCTCAATTATGATTTATGAGGCGAACGTCAACATAAGTGAGCTTAGACACGGCCATGGGCCGGTTTTGGGCCCGGAACCGGCCCGTTGACGAACCGGCCCGAACCGTTGACCGGTGAACCGGCCCATCGTCCCCGGGACGGGCCCGGTTCTATGAATTGGTGAACCGTGAACCGCCGGGCCGGCCCGGCGGTTCACCCGGATTTAAAAAAAAAATCAAAAAAAAAAAAAAAAAAAAGCAAATAACGGCCGGTGAACCGACCGTTATTTGCTAGACACGGCCATGGGCCGGTTTTGGGCCCGGAACCGGCCCGTTGACGAACCGGCCCGAACCGTTGACCGGTGAACCGGCCCATCGTCCCCGGGACGGGCCCGGTTCTATGAATTGGTGAACCGTGAACCGCCGGGCCGGCCCGGCGGTTCACCCGGATTTAAAAAAAAAATCCAAAAAAAAAACAAAAAGCAAATAACGGCCGGTGAACCGACCGTTATTTGCTATTTTTTGAAAAATCTCTCCCCCCCCCCCCCCCCCCCCCCCCCCCCGTTTTTTTTCATAAATACCCTCACACCCTATTTTTTCCTATAAAATTAAGTTAAAGTTCTTTTATTTATTTTATTTTGTTTTTTTTTCCTATTTAAAAGTAATTATTTTAATTTATTTATCCATTAACTATTTTTTTTTTAAATATATATATAAATGTAAATTTTACGGGCCGACCCGAAACCGGCCCGGAACCAGAGTGAACCGGCGGGCCGACCAGCCTGACGAACCGTGCGTAGTATGGGCCGTTTCCGGTTCCAGGAAAAGTGAACCGCGAACCGGAGTGAACCGGCCCGAACCGGGCCATGGCCGTGCCTAAGTGGGCTTAGCTTAGCACATAGTGTCTCAAGCCCATCACTAAGAGAGAAAAGGCCCAGTTTTTTTCACGAGGAATTATTATTATTATTATTATTATTATATATAAAATTGTTAAAAGAAAGAAAAAAAATTGTAGAATCTGATTCCTGATAAGAAAGCTTAAAAATAAGTGCAAAAAAAAATACAGCTGGCGGTGAGATGACGTGGCAGAATATGGCGGCTAGGTCCACATCAGCAAGGTCAGTTGGTATTTGTCGTTTAGTGGGAATGAGAGAGATGGGGCCTTGGCCCACATAGACACGTTTCGATAGTTTAACAGAAGGAAGTGGAAGCCCACCAAATTTGCCAGCCCAAAACTGAACTCTCATTATCCAATCAGCACACGACACGTTGCTCACAAATCTGGTTGGTGGCCTAACAAATTATTACATCATGATGTAGTTAAATCCACTTTAAAAATAATAATTATTCAATAAAAAATAAAAATAAAACTATGATCTTGCTACTTATTTATGTGTTACATATTTAAGTTCAGATAAAAATAAATCAATTTACACATATTTGAATATTAATGATACATTTTACTAACAGCTTGAATATTATTTAAGGAATTTAGTAATTCCACAAACAATCGAATTCCACTGGCTCCGCATCATCCTCGTAAGGCTTAAATCCCACTTCGAGATTGGAAATATCATCATTTACACCAAATACCGAATGATCTTGCAACGAAATGGAATGCGGGCAACTCGAATTCACCACCGTACCCGAATTCAAATTGGGAGATTTGGAGAAAATAAATTGAGCCGTTGGAGTATAGTAGTCGTTGTTCTTCGAACAAGAACTGAATTCGTCGACCGATTTTTCGTCCATTATTGAATTGGAGAAGCAGGACACATGTGATCTTTCTGCTTCATGCGCGATTCCTGTCAGTGGAGGCAAATCGGAACGACAATCTCCACTTCTGATAAGCCCCGATATATGCACTTTCTTCCCTCCCGAACTTTTCTTGAAAATTCTGCTTATCACCCATTCGTTCTGCAAACGACGAATCGAGAAAATCTCAACCAACAAAAACAGGGCAAAAACAGGGGAATAAAAACAGGGCAAAAACAGGGGAATAAAAACAGGGCAAAAACAAGGGAAAACAGGGGAATAAAAACAGGGGAAATTACGTACCTTGGCAGTTTTCGGGAGATTAAAACCGGAATTTGTTCCGTCTAATCGATACTCGTGCATAACCCAATTGGTCTTTTCACCTCTCGGAGCTCTTCCTTTATAGAAAACCAAAGTTTTTTTCATCCCGGCCAATTTCTTCGCCTGGAAAATCTCCTTGTCTTTACCGGTTGCTTTCCATATCCAGCTTCGGTAGCTCGATTTGTTCTCAATCCAGTCGGATACTTCCTATCTCTAATGCAGAAAAAATACCACTCTTTCTCACCCATTTTCGCCTTCCCTATAAATATCAAAACACGTATTTAAATAAAAAATATATATACAATTAAAAAAAATCGAGTCGATATTTCACTTACATGGCAATTCCCATGGTTCGACTTTGTTCAAGTCGACGTCTCCGATGACTTTGGTGGTGAAGGTGGTGTTGAGTACTTTGGGACATAAGTAGTGAGTTATAAGCTCTTCGTCGGTCGGGTGGAATCGGAAACCGGGCGGCAATTCTATTGGCTCGTCGTAGGTTGTACTACTACTACTAATACGGTTGAAGTTTTCCATTTACTTCGTATCGGAAAGTACGATTTGTTGTATTGCCGAATTGTGTGACTAATTTATCTGTATTTAAAGACGTTTAGAGGCGAGAAGGAAACTAAGGTTGCATTTATGGAATGAGAGAGTTTATCAAAGCTAGTGTATGTGGATATGTGAGAAACTAAGGTTGCATTTATGGAGAGAGAGAGAGAGAGAGAGAGAGAGAGAGAGAGAGAGAGAGAGAGAGAGTTCCTAACAAAAAGGAGAGGTTTTGCTAAGGAAGAAGTACTCCTGGGAACAAATATCTATAAATAGTTGTATTTAGAGAACACAAAGTCAATGTGGGACGAGGTGGAAATCAGACAAATCGAATTCGTAATTAGAAATTTCAAAAAAATCAATTTTTTTTCGGAATTGAAAAAATAATTGCTATTCCATTCCAAAATATCAGAAAAATTCTGGACAAATTTGAATAGAAAAACTTGTTCTGAATTCTGGTATCGTAAATTTTCGGACCAAAATTGGCAAAATAGGAAATTTTCATTTTCTTTATAAGTATCATTTTGAAAAAAATAATCGGAATTTTCCGACATCATAACAAAAGAAAAAAAAATCGGAATCTAATATATATACTAATTTGAAATGAGAAATACTGTTCCAAAATTGAAAATATTCGCATATTCGATTACTTAAAAAATTTCATTCCAGTTTACACCCAGGTGGGATGCGATGAATTTTGTCGAATCTTGCACTATCTATTGCAATTTATTACGGTTTTTTTTTTTAATTAATAATATATTCTAAATACATAGAAATTTGACCAAAAAGACACATATCTTATTATTTTATTACTTTATTTTAATTTTTCCTCAAATATAGTAAATAATAATTTATAGGGGAACAATAAAAGTCGTGTTGGTTGCAATTCGTTTAACCAAAGTTTATCCACTCGAAAAGTTGCTATAAATATGTGTACTCACTAACTTCACAAAATTTAGCTTTGTCGTTAAATGGAAGGAAAAAATTGTCAAATTACTTATTTGCCCTCAATCATATAATAAGACAACGATAGTATGCAAATTTTTTCCCCAACTTACGAGGACCACAAAATGCAATTTCAACTAAGGTTATTTAATTTTTTATTTTGATTTCTTGAAATTAGATAAGTGATGAAAGAATGGTGGTTGAATCACATGTTGATGCATTATTCTCTTGATTATAAGTGAAAATTGAAAATTAATTTTCGGTTTTCATAAAGGGCTAAATACAGTTTGCACCCTTAAACTATAGGGGTGGTATCACTTATCCCCTTAAAGTTATAAATGTAACACTTACCCTCTTCATTAATGAATTTAATGATAAAACTTTGACTTTGAATGATGTGACATTTTTTCTTCCCAAATTGTCCTTCTAGTTATTATATTGATGCATATATAATAAATTATTTTCAATAATATTTCAAAAACTAAATTTTATAAAATATAATAATTATTAAAAAAATATTTTGATTTATGTTTAACTCCACATTTTAGTTACTATAGACCCTAATATAAATAAAAATCTCAATATAATAAAAAATATATTAAATACGTTAAACATTTGCAAGAAAAAAAAAATATTTTCAAGACTTAAATGGCCAATTTTTTTTTATGATAATTATTGATTTGAAAATTTATTTTAGTTACTTAAATATAAATTTTAATAAAATAATATTTAAATATTTAGACGTTTAAATTATAATTTCTTATTAACTTTTGAATACATTTTGTGATTCTCAAAGTAAAAAGTGGGATGATTATATTAGAGTCATATACGCATTAAAATAACTATATAAACTATAAAATCATAATTAAAATTCGAATAATCGTTAACTTTTTATTAGCTACAAATGAACACAAGATAAAACAAAAATACACTAAAATTCAATTTTTTTCATTCATGAATTTACAATATTGAAATAATAAAATTAAGTTTTGGCAAAGTTGTCGAATTTTTTATTATTACATATTCATTATTTATTTAATGGCTAGAAGGACAATTTGGGAAGAAAAAATGCCACATCATATACAAAGTCAAAGTTATACATTTAAATTCATTAATGAGGGGGGTAAGTGTTACATTTGTAACTTTAAGGGGGTAAGTGTTACCACCCCAATAGTTTAAGGGTGCAAACTGTATTTAGCCCTTTCATAAACAAATTTTCGATTGTTTTGGAAGATTGCTTTAATTAAAGGAAAAAAATACAGCCAGTCAGTCCCTTAACGTAAGATTAAATTACAAAAAAATATTTTCGTTTGGTTAATTACAAAATACCCCCATCAATTATATAGTAGGTAGATTTGGCACCGTAAGAGCGTACTTATAAGATAATACATAATTAATGGGTGATTGTAATTACCAAAAAATGAGGGTTTTTTTTTTCATAATTTGATCTTACCTCAGGGGTTTGGCTGTAATTTTTCCTTAATTAAAACACATTAAAAAAATAAAAAAATAAAAAATCTCGAAAAATAATTCTGATCCGATTCGTTCGATTTTCACACCTACTTGTAATTTTAGGTAATATTAATCGGCATATAATTAACAATTTCAATCTTTAGCTGGTGTTAGCACAAACTTTTACAAATAGATTATGAGCATTTTTATTGCACGTAAATCGTTACTTAGAGTTTGCAAAACACGCTTTTGCTTCTGCTTATGTTAAAATAAGTTGTTTTAATCTATAATTTTAAAATAAGCATGTATCATCCTTCTTTTCCATTTAAGTTGATTTTCCAACTAATTTGTATAATCATAAATATTTAAAAATAAACACGTAATAATAACTCAACTCACAGCCACTAACTTCTGCTTTAAATATTTTCTTGCAAACAAAAGAGGGTAGATCATTGTAAGTCCCTAGTTCTATAGATTATTTTATTTTACTAAAGTTAGGTGAAAAAGTGATGATAAACATGCTCTATTATGATTATTTATCTTAAATTGTCACTTTCTCCATTGAAATAATGGTACTATAGTAACCTTTGCAGAAGTATTCATCCAAAACTTATTACATGAAATTTCAATCTAAATTGACAATCACATTCGTACTTTCTTACTTATTAAAACATGGGATTACCTAGGATTGACACGTGTACAATGGAGACAAATCGTCACGCCATTCATTGAATCTTGTTTACTTGAAACAAATATGATCATAAAAGTAATATTGTATCTTATGTACTTATACATCATTTAGGATAAATTACACATATACCCCTAAGGAATGCTAAAATAACATTTAAGTCCATGTGGTATTGGTAATTACAGTCACACTCCTGAAACAATTACTGAGCCAAAACTTCAAGTAATGGGGACCGAAATTCACTATATTTGTTTCGCGCGGGCCGTTAATACTACCATAAACGAAAAATTTTAAATTTGATATAAAATAATAAGGATTTAAGAAATGTTAAGAAACTAATATAAAGTCTCCACCACTGCCTGAAACTAATATTTCAGTAGAAACGTAACGTAATAAGTTATCCAATGCATTACCCCGTTATCGTTTCTAACAATGTTTCAGGGAGGTAATTGTAATTATGGATTCTACAGGGACCTTAATGCTAGAACCAAAGCAAATTGATGGTTAAGATGCTGCCACCGGAAAAATATAAAAAATAATTAACTAATTAATTAACATCTAATGATCTTATGATTAGATAATAATGAAGAGCTTAAGCTAAAACCGGCCTAACTTTAATCTAAAATAAACATAAAACTTTTTGACTAAAGACTTTTGAGTCCTTTTTCTTTTAAGACTATCTTTTTCACATTGGACTATGTTTCATAGTGTTCGGACATTTTATTATAGCCACGTGGCAAGATTTGGTTCGTCGAGAAGTCCCGATTTCGTCCGTACGGTTGCTTAGTTTTGCTCACGTGAATCAAAAGTTAGGCAACCAATTTAATGAGATGTGTAAATATTTAGAGTTAGTCGATTTCATTGAAATTCTTGAAGTTGAAAATTTGAATTTTGAAAAAAAAGGCAAAAGAAAGTCCAAGTGCAATTAATTAATTAATGATGCATTAGGTCTAATTTCTTATAGGATAAGTATGATTAATGGATAATTAGATCTTATTTATTTGATTAGTTTATATTTTCTTACGTTAGAAGTGTGTGAAACGAGATAAATTTATCGAAATTCAGTAAAAAACGACACGTATTCAAGAACATAAGGAAGTTGTCATTTTTGTTTGTAATTTTGTCCAATTTATCACACCAAACATATACTCCTAAGCTTTTATGTTTGATCAAGATCCCATAAAAAAATATTTTTATAAGGATATTCTGCAAATTCAATGACAAAACTAAACAACAAAACAAAAACATTATATGATAAACATTAGACACTTGCGCCCCACGAGCATGGCACGGTGACATCTGTATTTACCCGACGAATCAAGAAAAAAAATCACGTGTTTGCAAAATTAATCAGACGAAACTTAAATATCTAATTAAAAAAGAAGAAGAAAAAAAAGCAATTTCTAGTGGACAAAATTGGGAAAGAATGATCAATCAATTAGTTTGTCTAAATTTTTGATGCAACCAAACAAGTGAACAATTAGATTGAAAATTGTCCAACCAAAAGAGGGAAGGTGTCTTTGTTCATGGTTTGGGTTATAATTGGAATTAGTTAAGTTAATTTGTACTAAAAGAATTTGCTTTAGGACATGATTTATGAACCATATACAAGATGGATAATGAACCACAAATCAAGAAACTAATAGTGATAGTTAGGAGAAGCTAAGCTTTGTCTAGAAACATTTAACAAAATCTTGAAATTTTGAACAAAATGAAACCCTTTTTTCTTTTTCCGAAATATGATCGGTGCATATTTATGTAATAAATCATAATTCGGGGGAAACCAACCCTTTTTAGAAGTGCTGGTACCAGAACTACAAAATCCAATTATTTATATACGCGAATACTGTGAGGTGCATGTGTTTTAATAATTTTTTTAAATAATTAAAAGAAAAATTGAGTATGCCACAAATCTTCCAAAAAAAAAAAAACAAAAAAAATTAAGAAAACATAATAAATCACTAGTAAATAATGAATGTTGCCTTACCCACATGAATTATGAGTAATACAAGTCTAACAAGTTGATTAATTAGTAGGGGGCAATCCTAATACAAAGGTTTGATTAGTGGGTCTAACACGTTGATTAATTAATTAGTAGGGGGAACCCTAATACAAACGTTTGATTAGTGGGTCAAACAAGTTTGGGATATTAGTCACTATTTAATAAATAATAAGACTTTGTCTGATGTTTGGTTATTTCAATAACTTTGGTTATTTCAATAACTTGTTGGGTTGACCCGCCTGCAAAATATTATGTTATCATAACTTATCTTATCATGATCCGATAAATTAATTGAATTTTTATTAAATTATTTAATTTTATCTTAGCAACTAAACGAGACGAGTTGATTAATTAATAGGGGGCAAACAACCCTAACACAAAGGTTTGTTTAGTGGGACTCCTTCAAATAGATCAAGTATGCCAGCCAATCTGTTTAGCTTAATGTAATAGTTATTTTACAAAATATTATGGATCAATCATATTTAGTATCAAACTTTAATAATTACAATACTAGGTGTAACAACAAATTCTTATCTGCGATTTAGACAAAAAAAAATACTTGTACAAAGATAATTTGTTGAATTAAAATAAAATATTGCGGGTTAGAAATTCTAATTTAATCCTTTGATTCTTCTCTCAAGAACAATATATGTTTGACTTTCAATTTCGGAGTTTGGTCGTTGACTTGATCTTCTCCGGATTTGATTTTGAACTTGAATAACGTTTTCCGAAAGTCTTGCAACTTGAATCTCCTATTGGCCAATAATTAATTGATATATCTGCATGATTTGTCTTGCAAAACAAGATATAATTAAATTTAAACACAATTTAATTGGCTAATTTAATTAACTAATTAATTAATTTTATGCGTCTACACTAAGTATGATATAAATAATCAAACATCGTACTAAATAAATAACTCCTTAATTACTTTGCATCATTTTTCTTGAGGATGGGCCCTTAGCAACCCTAACGGCATTTTTACAATTATAGATTTTTTTAAATTTTTTTTCTTGTCTCATTAATTTTCTGATTATAACTCTTAAGAAGTTCGAAATTCAAACCAAATCATTTAGGATGCTTTTAACATCAATCTATTATTTTTCAACTATACATCTCAAATTATATTTACACATTTTCTTTCTTTTTAATTTTTTTCCTCTATGTTTTATTTAATTGCTTATGTCCTTTAACGATTAATTTCATTTTATGACAATTAAGTTTATATAATTATGAAATGCTATTCGTTGCATTGTACGGAAAGAAACGCTAGTTTTAAAATAAAAAAGTAGAACCAATTACAAATATCAAGAAACAATTGCTTAAAAACATTAGAATTTTTTTTGTTCGAAAAAATACAATTAATAATTAAAAATAAAAAAATCAACGGCGTGAGAGAGTTGCAGCGGAGAGCAAGATCAGTAAAATGAGAACAACCACGGCTCCAAATGAACCAATCAGAGAGCCGGAAATTCGCTCGCAGAACGAATTAAACTGCTGGCAAATAGCAAACCAGTTCGTACGAGTGTTCCCCTTGTGGGCTAAGTACACTATTGCTGCTGCAGCCGAAGCACCGGCAGTCAAAAGTGCAAGCATTCCCTTCGAAAAATAAAAATAAAAATAAAAATTAAATAAATAACTAACTAAATAATAATATTGTAGTTTCATGTTATATAATATATACCGTGTCGAAGAAAATCAAGACCACTCTACTCTTCTTTGCTCCTCCGTTTACGATATGGGAAATCGACAACGCTAGAGATAGCACCAAATAAGCGCTTACAATTGAATTCGCCACCACAAAGAATCTGTATATAATAATAATAATAAAAACAATAAAAATGTCATGATCTAAGCATGCATGCACATATATACGAAAATTAATTTAATTCGGGCCTTTTTTTTTTCTTTTTTCGAGACTTACGTGAATGTGGGGAGATCGCTGTATTTAGCCCTAAATCGAATGAACTGAGTGAAAAAAGGAAGTGACTCGTTTGTTGTTCCCATAGCAATTGCACTTGCTAACGTTGCAATAATTGCAATAATTCTGAGGACGAAATCGAGCGCAGCTAATCCACGTCTCGTTGTGGCAGAACCGTAATTCTTAGCGCCATGCTCGAGCTCAAGCCCACCCATTATATTTTTTTCTTAAGCAAAATTTGCTTTGTTTAAAGATTTTAAGTACTTATGACTTATGTATACTATTTTTGGCTTAAAAGTGGAGTGCTCAAAATGGAGCTTGATTTGGCAAATTTATAGTGATAATTATTTGCATAGTGGTTAGTACATTATTTACTAGCTAAAGCTGGGAAAAATAAATAAATAAATAAATAAATAAAAATGGGTATTTAATTAACTAAAGTTTGTATAAAATACCTGCTGTACATGCTCTGGTATTAAATAAATAATTATTCAGAATTATTGATCCAAATAGATATTATGTAATAATACTTTATGTTTCCAACTCCACCGGAGTTGTTGTAATTAATTTCCATAAAAAGAAAGTCAGAGTGCACCTCAAATATAGAGTGATATGATCAACTAAACCACTTATCTTAATTTAATTTTAATTTAATTTTACTTTTATTTTTATTTATTTATTTTCTATAGTTATAGTTACAAAAAATTGGGAAAATTACAACTGCCCCCTGAGGTAAGGAATATTTATGAAACCCCCCTCATTTTTCTATAATTACATCCGCCCCCCTGCAATTTGTAGATTTCTTACATTGGCACCCTTTTGTTGGGGTTGGATGTAAAAAATTACAAACTTTAGAGGTCTGGATGTAAGTTCTCAAAATAAGGGGTTTTTTTTGTAATTACACTTTACCTCAAGGTGGTGGTTGTAATTTACCCAAAAATATATCATGATTAGTATAGAAGATTAATATAGATTCAAAGAGCTTCAATATAAATTCACAAAAAAAAAAAAAAAAAAAAAAACCCTGTTATATATCACCCAATTTTCTTTGCGGAAAAACCGAAACCTTCTAGAAGATTCGAAAGAAAACCTTTACTCGTTTTCCCACCATCTTTCTTCCTCGAATCGCTCAAATTACTGACAAGAGACCAATGTGTCTCGAAATCAGGCACATAGCCTTTCTCTTGCATCAAATTCACAATTTCAAACGTCTTCCCAAAATTCTTGTCCGAACGGTATTTATCGATCACAGCATTAAAAACCCTTCTGCTCGGTATTTCACCAGACTCAATCATCGATCTAAGTAACTCCTCGGCTTCTTCAACTCTCCCGAATTCACTCAATCCACAAACGAGAATATTCCATGTAACCACACTCGGTTTCAATCCTCTGCACAGCATCTCACCGTAAAAATCGAGAGCTTTATCCAGGTTACAATAGTCTTTACACAAACCCTGGATAATATAATCATAGCTAGTTGACTCGGGGGGGCCACCACCCCCCTTTCGAAGCATGACGTTTAGTAGTTCAACCGCTTTATCCACTCTTCCGTGTTCATAAAACCGCTTGATTAAATAATCGTAATTTACGTTCTCAGGAATCAGACTCTTCGACGCTATTCTGTCGAGAAATTCCACTGCTTTATTGACGTTTGTACCCTTCCCGAGAAGTGCTTCGACTATGCTGCTTTGAATAACCGATCCAAAAATCCACCCTCTTAACTCCATTTCTCGACTCAATTCTAAAGCTAACTCGACCTCCAAATTACGACAAAGAAAAATGATTATTTCTCGTAAACTGCGATTACTCGGCTTAAGATCTTGTCTTAACATATTTCTCAGATAGTGTAGAGAACATGATATATCATTACACAAAAGAAACCCTCGAATAACGTAGTTGTAAGTGACATCATCGAACTGCAGTCCTTTCTTTCGAAGTTCTTCGATCATGGAATCCAATACGGAACTATTTTTTGTCGAGGAAATGTGAAATATCAGAATATTATACAAAACAATCTCCGGAAATTCCGTTATTCGAAGCATAAGCTCTTTCGATCTCATAGCGAGAAAAAAATTCCCTTTTTTGCATGCCATGCGTAAAATATTACCGTAAGTAGAAATCGAGAAGCGTAAATTCTTCCTTATCATAAAACAGAGGAACTCTTTAACTTTCTTGAAATTACGTTCTCCACAATAGCCTTCGATTAAAGCGTTGAACACATCGGAATTTGGAACGAAGCCCTTAAATAATACCTGCTCGAATAGAATATTCGCTTCTTGAAATCTTTTCGATTTGCACAGTCCTTTAATCAGAGCACAATCGATTGGAAGTAATGCAGAAGGTTGATTATCCATCGAGCACGTATTTTTCAATTCGATAGCTTTCTCAAAGTTAGTCCTGCAAATACGAGAAATCAATCGAGCGTACATTTCCACAGGTGGAGATAATTTCCGAAAAAGCATATTCTCAAAGATTCCCAATGCTTTGGCGAATCTCTTCTCCCGACAAAACCCACTAACAAGACAGCTATACGCCATGTGATCGAAAATACCGGCTTGAGTCGAAAATTCCTCAAGTAAAGCACACGCCTCATCGAACCATTTGTTCTTGCACATAGAAACAACAAGGGCATTACCGTCTTTTTCTTCGGGCGACCAGTTCGATTCTCGGGCGAGGCTAAAGAACTTCCGGAAGCTTCTAGAATCGCCTCTCTTGCATGCATCAAACAGAAGGGCAGAATAGGTATCGTTATCGATATTGTAACCCCTTCGCATCATTCCGTCGAAAAGAGTTCTTGCCCGAAAAGTAAACCCCGTTTTGCCGAATGTCTGAACAAGCATATTTAGTGTCTTTCGATCGAGCTGATAAATCGATTTGGACATAGCTTCCAAAAGACAATTTATCGTCTCGACATTTAAGGAATCTCTACAAAGGCGACTCAACAAACATGACACGGCATTCAAAGATAATTCTTGTCCCCATTTTGCCGTTTCATCCACCATTACTAGAGAACTTTCTACATCTCGAAATTCAAGATTTTCGATTATAACCGAGTTGAAATCGAGCAACATAGAATTATCAAGAACGCGAGTAATTTTATTCTCGTACTCATCAAGATTTGTGTCTAGATAAAGACCATTACCAAGATTATCGTAAAACTCGGTTTTAGAAAACCCCTTGTCATTGTCCCTTCTAATCTTCACTTCCGATTGGCTAAGCCCCAAAAGCATAAACCCTTTGGTCAATGGATCTTCCAATGACGAAATTTTCACCAAGTCATTATCCGACATCTCGCATACTATTGCCTTCACTTCGTCAAACTGTCGAGCTCTACAAAATCCAGCTACGAGAATTTTGTAGGTGGACAAATTCGGAGTCACTCCCATTTCACTCATTTCAACGAGTATTTCTCGAGCGTGCTTCGACATACCCTCCTCGAACATCGCACTTAAAAGAGCGTTGTAAGAGTACAAATGTGGCTTGAGGCCACTTGACAATATATCCGAGACGTAAAATAGAGCGTTCTTCAATTTTCGTTCGAGGCAACTTGAACCAATCAAAATCCCGAAAGCTATTTCGTTAGGGCAGAACCCTATTTCTTCCAATTTCTGCAAGAAAATGCTTGCTTCATCGACACCATAATCTCTGCACAAAGAAAAGAGAATCTTGTTCCCGATTAGGGCATCCGGTGCAACCTTAACTTCCGCAAAAAACCTCAACAAATCGTCGTAATCCTTCTTATTACAATAACCACAACTAATTGCGTTAACGACTAAATCACTCGGTCTAACTCCATAATTCAAGAATTCCTTAACGAGATTTCTGGCTTCTTGAACTTTCCCATCTATACAAAGCATTCGAACAACACTCTCGTGAATGTCATCTTCTTCCACACTCCCTCCAATTCCCACCTTATTATTAATCATATCCAAATAAACACGATACATCAACTGCGTTTCGTCGACTCCAACCAAATACTTAACAAGAGCTCGATAACTCGATAATGACGGTACCAATGCTAGCCCTCTCATTCTTTCGTAAGCCGATATTGCCCTATCTAATTCAAACTCCTTTAAATAGCCTTCGATTAAATTACCGAAAACTCCATCACAATCCAACAGAATTCCTCGGCTTTCACTCCGCGATAACAAGCACTCGACTTCGATAAAGAAACCCGCCCGCACAAGCATCGAAGCCATGATCTTACAAGACATAGGAAAATGCTCAAATTCCCTAGTTTGCCCACTCGCCCACTTGAAAATTCCCCATAAAGATTCAACCTTTTCAACCTCAACCTCGTACTTCCCACTGTCGGATTCAAAACCAACCAAAATTTCGAGAACATTTTGGGGTTTTAGCTCAGAAACTCTCCAAAATCTACGTATAATCTCAGGGGATATGTTCGACAATCTGAGAAGGTAATCCTTAAGTGAAAGGTGGTGCGGCGAACACTTTGATTTCGCAGTTCTTGCAATGCCGGATAAGTTAATCGAAGGTGAATTTTTGTGGGTCTGATTTGTTACAGGTGTATTTGGGGGTTTAATGGAAGAATCGGCACAAAAATTGATGAATTGGGTTAGAATTGAACAAACCCGTATGCGATGGTGATGATGGGAATCTTTGGTAGAGAGACGACTGAGAGTTTGAAACATTCGACAAGAAGGCTGAAACGGTGTCGTTTTCGATAATTGGGGAAGTTTCAGATTGCAGCTTTGGAGAAGATGAATGGGAGACTCTCACGATACGACGCCGTATAAGGAAATATATAATTTTTATTTATTTAACTAAAATTAATAAATTAAGCTCAGTTTTATCTTTTGGGTTTATTAGGGAAAACCCCCTTGTTCATATTTTCTAATGAGGTAGATCCAATTTTTTTTCCCCTTTTTGAGATACACCCAATTTTGCCAACTTGGCAAAATATATTATATAATTTCTCTTTAATACCCATGTTTTATTATTAAACAACATTTATTTCCTTTAATACGTGATTTGAGATTTGCTGATACGTTGCCTAAAATCACGGAATAAATTTACGTGAGATCATTGGCCGTTATATCAAATCGTGTACAATATTTTTTGAAGATTCTCTTCATCGTTCCAGCGGGTTTTATCGTCATTGAAGATTTCTGCACCGTCGTGGAAATAGGATCGATTTTTGAGCGTTTGTTGTTGGACGTTGTTAAGCGGGTATGAATGCGTTATTCGTTTTTATTTTTTGCTCAATGTCCATGATTGTCTTGTACGGTGGTTAGAAATTTTTAAGAGTTGTGTTGATACTTGATTCTATTAAGTAGAACGTTTTTTAACAAAATTATTCCGTCATATATATATCGTTTTTTTTGGCCGATGATGTTTGTTTGGAAGAGGATTGACAGAGTTAGAAGAGGATGGTTCACGCAGATCGAACCAGAGTTGTTTTATATGAGCTTCGTAGTTGGTTTATGCAATAATCGGAATAATTGTCCGCTTTGGTCGAGTTCATGTTTTTATCCCGATCGATAGCTGGTTTATTTGTTTATAACAGCCGATTTAAGTGTGCTGGGTAGTACATTAAAATATAGTTCGTAGTCTTTTTTAATTTAGCGTATGAATTTTGCATTTTAAGTTTATTTTTGATGAAATATATTTGCAGTCTATTTAATTATTTTTTAGTATTCTGCATTTTTAATTTTGTTTCATGATTTTAGGTTTTTTCGATGGCGAATTTCGTACGGATTTTGTTGAGGTTTGGTGGGTTGGTTGCTATAAAGAGGTGTTTACGATGTAATGGCTCGGTAACTTCGGTTAAGTGTTAAACCGTTGTAATACAGTAGTATACTATTATGAATACCGTATGATACTACCATTATCATTTTATTATACTATTATGAGATTATTAATGTACTAGAGTTTTTTAACTCGACATATTGGTTTGATTGTGTTATGATGTGTTTTATGTATTTTATCAAAACCCTAGATTGAAATTATGAGATTACTAATGTACTATTTTATTGGTTATGTGGAATACTTTACGTTGGTGTTGTTCTCAATGTTCTTGTCATTTCAGTGGTATATTGTTTGTAACACAATTTCATATCAATACTATAACCGTAATATACTATCACAGCAGATTAATGTACTATATTGAAATTATTAATATACTATGTGGTTGAATAATACGGGATCCATACTCTATTAACGAGATCCATAGTCGAATTAGATCAATAAGATAGTCTATTACATAATATAAGGAAAATTACCTTAATTGATTAGTATAACAAACATATTATTCAGTTTCCATATATATTATTATTTTTTCATATATATTATTATTTACCCTAATCGTTTTCATATAATAAGGAAAATTACCCTAATTGATTAGTATTTCAAACAAACATATTATTCAGTTTCCATATATATTATTATTTTTCCAATAGTCAATTAATTAAACCCATAGTCGAATTAGATACATGGGATAGTCTATTAAAAGATATGAGATAGTCTATTAATTTTAAAAAGGTAAAGTAACGAGATTTGTGGGATTTGATTGAGGGTAATTATGTAATTACGAAAAGCTTGGGCTTTTATCAAAATGGCAAATTTAAATTTGGGTCTACCCCTATTATTTGAATGTTTAAGGGGGTTATATCTAATAGACCCTTATCTTTTTATTATTTACTACTCCCTCCTTCCCTCATTATTTGTCATTTTTGTTAGTTGCACATATATTAAGAAACTCAATAAATATGTATAGATAGTAACAAAAAGTATAGTAAATCACTAAAATGCCCATGCCATTAATTGATTTTTAAATAATTATATTTCAATTAATTATGAGTGAGAAAGGGCAAAATTGAAAAAAATGCAATTAATTATTTATTGGAATAGTAAAATGACAAATAATTTGAAATATGAAAAAATGGCAAAAGTGACAAATATTAAGGGAAGGAGGGAGTAGTATTCTTCACATTGCGGGATAATACTTTTAAAAGTGAAAAAATAATTAATTTAATACGTGGCAATAACAATTATAATTAAACTACATCATACTACAATAACAAAATTTATTAGTGATATTTAAATTATAGGAACAACATCAACATTCATACAAATTCGATAATATAAACCTATTCAACAATATATTATATAAATTCAGTTTTCCTAATATGAAATTGACTGTTAAATAAATGATTTACAAAAAATCGTAGAGGAAAAAAATAGGAAAAAAAATATTTTTAAGATGCCATTAAAAGGAATGCTGAATAATAAAGAAATATGCAAATCGTCGCACTGAGATAAGAACGAAAAAACAAAGAAAAAATATAATAAAAAAATTAATAGAGGAAAAAAATTACAAAATTTTTCTAAAAATTTCTTAAGATTGCCCTAAGGTTTCTTTCTTTTATATATAAAATTTATTTGGCAAAAGAAATATTTTTGCTATAGCATCATATGTAATCGCTTTTGCAAAATAAAATTTATTAGTCTATATTGATCTTGCCAATCAATACTCCCTAAATTGTTATTGTGGTTAAATATGAAAATAAACATTTTGCGCCGCTAAAATAAATTATTACAAAAACTACGAAACTGTAATTCAGAGTCTAACATAAAATCTCAAATAAATATTACGAAAACTTTAATAATTCAAAGTCTTAAGTGAAAATAAAACATAAATATTAATAATTATTTTTATCTTTGTGTTCGTCTTTATCTTTGCCTTTGCCTTTGCCATTGCCTTTGTCTTTGTAATCAAGCGTTGGAAACTTGAAGAATCTTGGCATTCCTTCGTCTTTCGCACCTTTTGTGCAGCCGTCTTCTTTTTCATCAGGTCCTTTTGATAGGACCTGAAAGTAGACACGGCTATGGGCTGGTTTTCGGTCCGAACTGGCTCGTTGACGAACCGGACCGGCCTGTTGACCGGTGAACCGGTATTGAAACCGTGAACCGGTCCGTGTCCCTCGCACCGGGCCCGGTTCTTGAAATAGGTGAACCGTGAACCGCCGGGCCGGCCCGGCGGTTCGCCTGAAATAAAAAATGAAAAAGCATAAAAAACTTGAACCGGCCGTTATTTGCTCTTTTTTGAATTCCCCCCCCCCCATTTTCGGATAAATACACTCACATGCTATTTTTTCCTATAAAATTAAGTTCAAATCATTTTATTTATTTTCTTCTGTCTTTTTCATATTTAAAAAGTAATTCTTTTAACTTATTTTTCCATCAAGTATTTTCAAATATATATATATATATATATATATATATATATATATATATATATATATATATATATATATAAATTTACGGGCCAACCCGGAACCGGTCGGGGTAGGCCCGGAACCGGAGTGAACCGACGGGCCGACCCAGCCCGCCGAACCGTGTGTTGTACAGGCCGGTTCCAGTTCCGGAAAAAATAAACCGTGAACCGGAGTGAACCGGCCCCGAACCGGCCCATGACCATGTCTACCTGAAAGATTTGATATTTTTAATGAAGAAATCATATTCGAAGTCCTCCTCCAAGTAAGCAGTGTTATTCCCTGCAAAAAAAACTTGGAGAATTCAGTACACCATACACACTCCGTCACCAAAACACACACTCACAATTAATTTACAGTAAACATAATTAATTAGCAACATTTACGAAAACACACACCCACGCACAATTAAAAGGCTTTTGAAAAAGAAATTTAAATTTAATCTTACCCGCGTTTGCCTTTGCAGTCTTTGATGACGAACCCTCTCCCTTTTCGACCTCTTCCGGCACCGGCTCCCCCTTTTCAACTTCTTCCAGCACCGGCCCCCCCTTTCTCAACTTCTTCCGGCACCGGCCTCTCCAGCACCGCACGCACCCTCCTTTTCAACTTCTTCCAGCATCGGCCCCCCTTTTCAGCCCCCCTTTTCAACATATTTTGCTAGTAAACATTTGCATGGCATTAATTATTAACAAAAATAGATTTCAAAAGGCCCACATATACATATACATGCATTTAGTCTGGGCTAATTAATCTGTAATGTATATTGAAGCTGAGGACCTCTTGGAGTCGCGTATTGGTATGGATAGAAAGGTTAAGCGAAGTAAAGACAAGGCGATTGACTATGCAATCGTATTGAGAAAAAAAATACCAAACTGGAAATGGGTATGAAGAAGCTGAAGAAGGTGGTTCATCGTCAATCAATACTCCCTAAATTGTTATTGTGGTTAAATATGAAAATAAACATTTTGCGCCGCTAAAATAAATTATTACAAAAACTACTAAACTATAATTCAGAGTCTAACATAAAATCTCAAATAAATATTACGAAAACTTTAATAATTCAAAGTCTTAAGTGAAAATAAAACATAAATATTACTAATTATTTTTATCTTTGTGTTCGTCTTTATTGGTTAGTTAATTGTTTCGATAAAAATTATTCCCCAATTTATTAGAGTGTTAAAATCATTTTCTTTTTTATGTTATATTATACTAATAATACTTCATTAGTTTATATTTGCAAGTCTCAAATCTCATCATACAAATTTGGGTAATTGGCATTATATTATGGACCCTCAAATTATATATCATTGGCACTATGCTCCCTTCAATTATAATTATTTTGGCAAACTGCACCCTGGTTCCCTTTTTAGTTCAACAAGTGACCGTTAACTTGATTGCTTACTTCATAAAGATGGCAG